TGTATTACTCCACAGTATTTTAATGTTTGAGTTGCCTAAGAATTTTTGCATAGCACTCTCAATCTTGATTTGAAGTCTGACCTGGTAGAAGAGAGGCTAGTTTTGTATTAGTGTAGTATTTGAGCCAAAGGAAGAGTAACATTGTTAAATTAAGAAAATCCTTTGAGCAGTTTGGCTGGAGAACCTTGTTTTGGTTTTGAAATTAATCCAGTGAAGACTTTGCAAATCCTTGCCAGATTAGCCTTGACACTGAGCAAATGAGGAGGGAGGGCAGCAAATGAGGAGGGAGTGGAGACTAGGAAAGGCAAAAAAGCCTTAGAAATGAGAGGGGGAAAATACTGTAATGGGAGGAATAGTGATATCTTAACCAAACAAACAAACAAAACCCCACAAAACAGAAGAAAAGATTAATCAGCAAAGAAGGATCTTTGCCTATTATAGCAAAATGGGAGCTAGAGGATCACATGAAAAGATACCAGTAACTTTCAGATAGTTATCTTCCCCTGTTGGGAATTTTAGAATTACTTTTAAACTGTTAAGAGTTACATGTTGGTAACACCCCTTGGAATTTTAAGGTAAGCATCTAGCTTTTAATACAAAAGACATTCACAGATTTGAGTTGATTGTCTTGCAGATCCACAAAGACTCACCCTGGGCCAGTTGTACATTTAAGTGACAGCCCAAGAGATGAGGGAAAGGTGAGTACAAAACATCACAACATTTCATAGGCTTTATTTGCCTTGATAGCTCGCTCTTCTTGCTTACTCACTAATTTTGTCATCTGCTTTCTTTCTATATTTGCAAGGTCACTTTTACTATTTTACAGGTTTTAAGAAAAAAATACTCTTTTTGCAATTTTAATGAGTCAAATCCTGTGATACAGACAACATACTGTTCTTAGAAACATATAGCCAAACGTCATCTTTCCTGATTAAATAAACTTGACTTTGCTTAAGTAAGGATTGACTAAAAACTGTATCATTACTTCAGTAATTGGATAAACATGCTATTATGAAGGCATTACTGTAAGTTTTCAGAAGATAATAAGTATTTTCTTATAGAAGAATAACAATTGTAGCCCACATTTGGAAGTTGCTACTGTTTGTGAACAAAGTTGAGAATAGTAAAGAGCAAAACATGCAGAGTTGTGATTGATAACATCAGGGAGCAAAATCAGAGTTAGCTTTGTTTGTATGGTAGCTTTTTCAAAATGAAACTTGGTTGCCAGAATAGCAGTTTTTATGAGAGGTTTTTGATTTATGTGTTGTTACTGGATTTTGGAGCATTTTGCCTGTGTGGAAGGAACATTTAACTATCTCATTGGTTTTGATTGCTTTCACCAATTGCATTTGAGTGTGTATCTATACAGGACTGCATCTTATAAATGGTGTATCTATTTGACAGTGTGCCTCATGTACAGCTAATAGTTATTGGAAACTAGCAGCAGTTTGAATTTCTGATACTGATATGAAGGACATTATACTGAAGTTAATATGGATACCTAGAAGAACACTGATGACTACATCTGAATTTCATTAGCATTATCCATCCTCAGACTTATTCATATTGTAAGGAGACCAATGTGCAAAAAATGCATTTGCCAGCTAGCCCTCCAAAAAGTCAGATTGGATGTCTAAGCTTTTTTGGAAGTATCACAATAGATCCTGCAATTTATATTACAGCAAATAAAGTAATTGAACACTATAATGTGCAGTGTTTTAGCCTCAAACCAGAAATTGTCACGAAATGCTATTTAACTATCTATGGCAAAACACCTGATAAAAAGAAAGGTTTATTGATGAGGCATAACTCTTGTTCACTGACTACAACAGAAACTGCTGATGACCTAACCTAAAGCACATGGTGTAGGTAGAAAGGATGTGATCCTAAAAGCAAAAATGGTCTTGTGAGTGAATGTCTCTTACAGGAATGCCATGTGCCATGGCCAAAGAGGAACCTAAAATAGTTCTACTTCAGCAGAAGTAAATTCCATTTTCTTGGAGTAAGAAAATTACTTAGGCTGCAAGAATATGTGAAAATATGAAAAGTATTTGCCCTCTTCCTATATTGTTCTTCATTATTCACTCTTGGCCATTTCAGTCCAAGATACTGCAATAGGTAGACCTTTTGTTTAATATGGGCAGAGTTGTTCGTAGGTGATAGACCTGTTTCAATATAATTCTACATATTCTGCTTAGTTCTTCAGCTTCTAGTTAACCAAAGAGCACCAAGAGAAGTTAGTGGGAGAGATTAAGACTCCCCACATCACTTCATGAGCAGCATTAGATAAAAATGTTTTTACATATGCTTCAGGAATTAAAGAGTGGGTACAAATCAGTCATCATCATACGGATATTGTTGTACCCTACAAGTACAAGGATATACTTTGCAAGGGTCCAGTGGTATATCCTTCCTGGAGTATCACAAAGTTGTTTACAGATCTCAGTATGTTTCATTGAAGTAAGTAAGTAGCATTTTCCTGTGGGCAATGAGTTGTCGAGTCTTAAACCAGACAAACCTTTCCAAAGGTAAGAAAACTGTAAGATCTCTTTTTGAAAGCCTGGGGAATTTGTGTGCTGACTGTGTATTTACCTTTTTAAAATACTTAAAATTGCTAAGATTTCCAGTTTCTGTCAGTGACCCATGACCAGTTTGTCTGCACCAAAGCACTGAATGTCGTTCCAGAAGACTTTAGCCATTCACATTTTTTCCACAGTGCTCTCTGGGCAAACTGTCAAGGCAGATTTTGGAGACAGTCTCTTTTATGAATCTAGCAAGCTGTGGCTGGAAGACAGACAACAAGGAGAATTTGGGCATTTAATGGGGCACTGAAGAACAATTTGGGGACCTAGTGATTAAGTTCATGAAATATAACTGTGCCTGCCAAATCAACGCGTAAGTGTACATGAGGAACAGACTGAAGTGCACAGCCATTTTTAGTGGCAGATCTGTAGCAGACATGATTTCTCTTGCTGACACAGGAGAAGACATTAACTCCAGTGATCCGCAGTTTCCCAGCAAATGGAGAAAGCTTAACAGGAAAAGGTTTATTGTTATTAACTATTAGCTGGTGGACTAAACTTCCTATCTCTGAGTCTGTGTTCTGAGTTCTAATAACACCTAATACAGTGTATTTGGAAGGCTTGGGGTTTTTTCTCTCAGCTGTTTTGTGCTACCAGGACAAGGAAGGGGCTGGCTGGCATGTACCAAGATGCAATTAGTTCACTGTGAAAGAGAAATCTCCCTAAAACACCATCATCAAAAGCATTTCATGAAGAAGGATTTAAGTCAAAATGTGGAACAACTCAACTAGACAAGAAAGATCTAGAAAGAAGGACTCCTCCCTCCTTCAAATTCTGTTCAGCTTTCTGCATGTTTCTTAGCCTAATTAAGCATAAGTAATGGAACAAAGTGCCAGGAAACACCAGCTGAAGAGAAATCTTTGGGTTGTTTCCTTCCTTGACTCTTTTTACACATATTTATGTATATTTTCCTTCTTTGTGTTTTCCCCTCCAACTGCATTTATGAGGGTTTTTTTACCTCTATTGCAAACATAAAGCTTGTCTTACAGATCTCTCAGGTGCTCACCATTGCCAGAGGGGTGTGAATGTTTGAGTTTCCTATGGTTCAGACAGGTCAGAATTTGGACCATCAGAAATATACTGGTGATGAGACTAATCACAGTTACCCAGTAGTAGTAGTTAGGCAGCATGGCTACCATCAGAGCAAAGAGACAGAGATTCCCAGCTATCCAGCAAGTCATAGAATCATAGAATGGTTTGGATTGGAAAGGACCTTAAGATCATCCAATTCCAACCCCCCTGCCATGGGCAAGGGACACATCGCACTAGACCATGTCACCCAAGTCTCTGTCCAACCTGGCCTTGAGTGCTGCCAGGGTTGGAGCATTCACAGCTTCCTTGGGCAACCTGTGCCAGCGCTTCACCACCCTCACTGTAAAGAACTTCTTCCTTACATCTAACCTGAACTTCCCCTGTTTCAGTTTAAACCCATTCCCCCTTGACCTGTTGCTGTAGTCCCTAATGAAGAGTCCCTCTCCAGCATCCTTGTAGGCCTCCTTCTTCCCTGAAATCACAGCACTTTGTGTCTTGCAGTTCTGAAATGCTGCTGTGCATTAAGCATTTCAGCAATAGATCATGTGAAATGCTGTCTCTGATAGGAGGTATTTAACCTTTTAGGAATCACCTGGAGTGTGGTATCTTTGCCAAAGAGAACGATAAATATCCCTGCTTCACCAGGGAGAAAGGCTTATTAAGATACAGGGTCACATACTAAATGCTTTTCTGTTCTTTCAGTTTCCCGAATATATTTTTACAAAAACTCAGGTGAAAAGAATAATGGTAGATAGGAACTGAACTGAACTGGTTTGGTACCCAGCTGTATTGCACTAGTGCAAGTGCCTGTTATGATGATGGTAAGGAAGGCACTCAGATTCCATAACATATTGATTAAAATACTGTTTTTTGAAGTTGATACAAAAAGGATGGCGGGAACCCCAAGTTGTGTAGCATTGGATTAACCTTCAGTAAGGGCGCAGCACACCGTGCTGGTCCCCTCTGTTAGGAGTTTTCCAGCATTTTGATCTTTGGAGAGCTCAAAAGATAAAAGGTTTTTTTTTTAATATTGATTTCTACTATCAAGAAAAAAGGTGTTCACATGAGACATACTGCCTTATATTAAGATAAAGGCAAAGACACAAGAGTACTGTGATTGTCCTTATCAAGTGGGAGCTGCCTTGTAGGCTTCTTTAGAATTAGCCAGTTAAGTTTATTTTGTGGCCAAGGAATATGTACAGCACAACGCAGCGCAGCACAGCACAGGCCTCACCTACTCAGGTTAACTGCTGTGGGGATCACTGACTCCTGGGTATAATACTGTCTTCCATTTAGGATCACTACACTAACAGTGAAAACAGTCACAGTAAGACACTTCTTTCTTCACTGTCAGTGGCAGTCTATTGTCCCGGATTACCATATGGCGTCCTGACACAAGTGCTATCCAGTTAGCGGCATGCTTTCTGAACAGGATGTCTTTTCGTATTTACTCTGCCTCAGAATTCCATATGGACCCATCCACAGCAAAAATGATAAATACTCTGGAATCTCTCCAGGACAGTTTGAATTTTTCTCAGGAGCAGAATTCTGAAGTAATCAAGCATTTTTCATATTCAGGTATTAAATATATTAACTATAAATCATTCCCAGATTAGGTAATGCAACTTCACACAATGAATATTCTCCTGGCAATATAAAGAATCATATTTAGTAGGACTGAGAGTATTCCCAGACTCTTTTATAGCAGTATTGATGTATCAGTTATACTTAACTTGGGAACAGTGATGTTTCGTTTAGCAGTCCAGCCAAGTTTCATTTTTATCAGTTATGCAAACTAAAGTGAGTGATGGCAAAGATGCTGGTAAGGTTTCACAGACTAAGAGATAATCTTGTTGTTCTTCTCAAATTCTTAATATAGAAACTGTAAATTCTTGCCTGCATTCTGTGATTCATGTGTTTATGGACAAAGAACAACTACAGTTATCACTGTTCAGTTATATAAAATATTCTGTAGCAGAAATGTGTGAGTCTGACAGTTTGGCCATTCCCAGTCTTTATGTTCGCGATAGAGACAGGCTCTATAGGAAGCAATTGCCAGGACACCTAAGGAGGCTAGACTTCATGTCTTCCATAAGATCTGAAATGAATTGTGTTCAGATGGAGTGAGCTGAATACCATGCCAGATCAAGAATTCAGTTCTTTTCAACAGAGACAAGGCAAAAGGACTATGTTCATTCTTTTTTTCTCCTGAGCATCATTTTTGTTCTCTTTCTCTTTTCACAAACCTTCTTCCCCAGTATTCCTTAGGTGTGCATGGTGATGCGACATCCCAGTTCCAGAAGAAGTAAAAACTGGCATGCCAATTAATTTCTTTTCGGTTTGTAGGAAAGCAAGCAATTTATTCTCTACAAGGGGAGACCTTAAGAATGTTTTTAAGCAATAAAAAGCAGAAATCAAAGGAACGTAAGTAGCTGGATAACAGTTTAGTCTGGTGACTCTTCAGTTTGAAGTTGTTCAAATGATCTCTTTGGTGTCTTCCCTCTAACCAGGGGCAAAGAAGGTAAGAGCTGACAGGAACGTGCCACAGTCTTATTTTCTCAGTACATGTACACTTGTGAAAACTACCCAAACACATAATCTTGCAGGGAAGTTAACTTGTCAGTAATGAGAATTCCTGTTGAAAGGTAATTTGAAAGCAGAGTGTTACAAATAGAGCGAGCTACAGTCCTGCACATCAGTTTGGCCTTTCTTTTTATAGTGCTTATTTTCTTTAAAATCTCTTAAAATCATTAAGTTTTTCCGTATTTGTTAATACCTTTTGAATCGGAAGCTATAATTGTGTTTGTTTCCCTCCTCCAGCTATTGATAGGCTATGAAAATGGGACTGTCGTATTCTGGGACTTACGATCTAAAAGAGCTGATTTAAGAGCTTATTATGATGAGGTAAGCTATTTCCATTAATTCAGAAAAGCTGTTACTCAGCAGTTTGTCGTGTGTCTTGTCAAGCAAATGAATATTACTCTGAAAGTGTTGCTTGTTTTGGAAATACTGTTTGTGCTGTGCTTTTGCCAGTAGAAATCAAAACCTGAAGTCTCTACTTCTAATGCGTTAGCTCTTGTGAGTGTACTATGACACAGTCTCTTCGCCTTGATTCTGACAAGTTTATCAGTTTCTGTGTGGAGATCGTCTGTTGAACAGAGTGTAGTAATGAGCTGACCTGAGATACAGCTATATTAGGAACTATATAATTATCAGCAATTTAATAAAACATTAATTACAGTGAAAGGCAAATGACTTTGTAGGGCTGTTGGTATTACCTAGTACTCAAGATCTGAATAAAAGGTTTTCAAAATTGCATTCTCATAGTTTTATCAGACAGTTGGCTCTTGCCATTTGTAAGCAGGTTGTATCAATCACAGACACTGTTCTTGTGTCAATAAACAGGCTGCTTCAGAAATAGATATCTACTTAGTTATTGTCATTTTAGTACTAGCTCTAGGGAAAAACATGCTTTGTTCTGCCAGCCCTTCTGTGAAGTCCACCATAGATGAATGTGAATGCAACTACAGCTGAAGCTAGGAAAGGACATTTTCTTTAAAGTGATTCAGGCAGTAAGTGGTTTTACTGTAGTTCTCTTCCCTTCTTCATCTTGGCACCTTATTACATGTATGAAGTATACACATTTATTTTCACTCTAAAAAGTAATCTGAACATATTTGCGTCCTACACCCTTTTAGGCCCATTTTCACCAGACCCATTAACACTACACTGAGCTTCAATGTCAAGATTCTGAGCATCCGCATAGCAAATGTTCTAAAGGATAGGGTAATTCAGAGTTTAAACAGAACAGCACTTAAGCCTCAATATATGCCCACTAAATTGTCTCTAAGTGACAGTCCACCTCTGCATCCACTTGTGAAATTGCACCTGCCCTATTATTTAAGGCTGGACAACTTTTTCATTTCATAGGTCTCCTGTGGGGGAATCTCTTCACTGATTTTCCTCTCTTATGGTCAGAATGAGACTTATATAAAACAGGATCTTCATAACACTAATTTTTTTGGGGGGAGGGGTGGTGGTGTTGAAAATTTCTCAATTTATTCGTTCCACGTTTTTCAGTACTGTCCTCAGGAACATTTTTTGGTGTTTTTATCAGTCATGCGCTTTCCTCTTCAGTGGTTACTTGCTGTGTCATTACTCTGTGCAACTTGCGATGGCTTGCTGTGGTCTACTGAAATGGTTGCAAGATTCTTATTTTGTCTTTAAAAGACAAAAATGTGACTAGCCATTGTACTTTATCCCAGACTTTTAGGCTCCAGATTGATAATGTTCCAGATCTGCTAGGATTCCCTTAGGGAGCCACTTAAAGGGTTCCTTCATAAATCCTGGGTTACATAGCTTTTGTGAGTCACAAATTATTAGTTTGGCATGTGCCACTTGGTATGTGGGACAAAGTCAGGTTTTCAAACCTAAGCCTCTTCTTACAGATTGGTCATCTAAGATTACAGTCCAGAAGACGTTATTCCTGCTCCCCTTCCCTATTCTGTCTGGACTGATGCAAGGTCTCTGTGTCTTATGGCAGCTGACTAATCTTCCAGTATTGTTGTTGTGGCACTGAGGTAGCAAGTTGCAATTGCTGGGTATCTGTGAGGTCTCAGATAAGTTACTGTAAATATTCTGTACCTTCACTGAATGCCAAAGTGCCTCTATGAATGGGGTCTGAGCGAAATTAATCCTGCCTCACTTTTCTAACTGTCACTGTGCTTTCTTTAGCACCAGTTTTAATGCAATCACCCTATTTCATGGTGGAAGAACTGGAAATCTCCTCTTAACTCTCCACTTTCTCTTCAGGCATCTTTAAGGCACGATCTTTTTCTGGCTTATCAGTGGAGCAGATATTTCTACTTAGTATCAGAAATTCCCCTGGCACCAAGCTTCTTCATTAGCACTTGGTGTGTACTTTGAGAAACAGCTCATTTTCTTGTCTTTGATGGACTGCCAGTGCTCATCACCCAGGCAAGTTCTTTCTTCTGTGTAATCTTCAGATAGCTGACCAGCTTGGTAATGTCACTCAAACTGAATGTCAGCACCCTTAAGACTCCATCCAAATACTCATCCTTTCACAGGATCAAGCCCTAACTGGATTTCTCCTCTGTTACCCTTGACAGCATTGGATTTCAGTCTCCCCAGACCAGCTGTTGAGAAGGAGGCCCTCTGTTGTTATTTAGGTCTGTAGAACCTGTCACCAGCACAGAAGCCAGGGGTTAACAGCAGATATTTTTTGACACAGAAGAGGAAAGAGCACTGGTAACTGTCTATCTACAAATCTAAATATTCTTCCTTTTTAAGTTCAAGATGGGGTCTGTATCTGCTGATGTTCACTTCTTACAGAGAAGGAATAGTTTTGTATCTTATGAATTTAAAGATACTTATTTTCACACAGTCATTAAAAAAATGCTTTTGTTTCATTGCCACTGAGAAACATTATTAAAAGGTCTTTTCCATTAAATTTTTTCACTATGTTGAGTGCTGGGTTTTTAATTGAGGTCTTAGAAGTAGTGGACACTTGGCTCAGATGGAATAGGTCCTCTTTATTTGCACGCTTGAACAGTTGGCTAACAAAAAGATCATCCAGAGATAATGGTTCTTAGTCCTCTAGGACATCACCACTGTGAAATCTTGCCTATCCTTTCTAGGCTGCATGGCATTATCATATTGGCATGATACTCCACATCACATAAGACTTGTATATGTGGATACAAGACACATTGCAGACACTTCCACAGATTATGGGTAATCTTATGACGGCGAGGTGAGTTGTTTCCCACAATATTAGCAGGATCTTTCCAATATTTGCAGAAGTATGCCCTTTCATTATCCTTGCCATCCAGATTAGTGTCATGGTCACATTGCTCCTAGAATAAACAGCTTACTGAAACAACCTCCTAAGTGTTGGAGCTGAAGACTCTGCCCCTGTTCACAGACCTGCAATTGCAGCTTTTACAGCTGCACTCCTTACTTCATGCCTTGAAGGCTGGGAACCTTTCGCAGATAAAACATGTCTGCTCATTTCAAATGAGAGAGTTTCTCACCAAGGATAGAAAATGCTGTACAAGTTGCATCATCTGCAACTTTTCTACTTGGTGTTCTTGTAAGCCTGTATCTTCTCTTTAAAGCTTCTCCTTGATACCTGTGGTTTACTCACTGGAGCTAAAAGTAGCCGTGTCTCTCTTTTAGCCCCACTGATACCAGTTAGAGCCTGCCTCAGTTCATCAGTTCCTGGCACAAGGAGTTTCTGTGTTTTCTTCTCTACTGTGCCAAAGCTTCTCTAGAGACTAAACTGTTCTCACTTGTGAAACACCTGGTCCCAGAGCTTGAACCTGCTGCTAAGGTATCCATGTCTGTTCTTCAAGATGTCAGCTGCAGATTTGTTTCTTTCTCTGATAATGGTCATTTTCTCAGTGGTAATAAGTATGAGATACTTAGAACCTTTCAATCAATGGTCTCTATGCTGCCCTCTATAAAAGGCTTTCCTTGCAAGCCCTTTTATGAATTCCTTCAGAAGTTTCTTTCCATCGATTGGTATAAAATCGAATACATAAAAAAGACAGATCCTTCAGAGGATTCTCAAGTTATTGGCAGATCCAAAAACCGAGCCATCTTCATACACAGACTGTTTAAAAGTTTGACAGCTTGTGTCAATGCACATTCAGAGCTTCCTGAAGCATAGTCATCAGCTTTCATTAGAACACATCACCAAAATGAAGCTGCAGAGTTTACAGGGATATTTGCCAAATGACATCTCCCTACCTTTATCAGGCACTATGCCATTATGGAAGTATCAAATCATATGTAGCCCTTGCTATAATGGTCTGTAATTGGTACTACTGCATGAAGGATTCTTAAGATTCAAGCAATAGAGTGAGACAAGTATGGTGCTTGTTCAAGATATAGTTAGAAGTGGTCCTAGAGTTCCCATGAGTTCTTTTCAGTGGAGGAGGTTTGTGGTTGGGAAGGAACTGAAATGGTGTTGGGCATGATTAATTTTAGTACATGCTGAGTATGAGAGAAGATGGAATATGTGTGCCACCACTGTGGGTATTGCAGAAGGAGAAATGTGCCCAATCTGGAGTGATATGCTTTATGTGCATACACTGTGTGAACATTCACATGAGTCATGCACTGTGATGAACTCCTGTTCTAAGAAAATAACTGCTCCTTTTCTGTGTGTGTGCTAAAGAAGTGGATTATAATGCTAGACATATTCTAGCAGAGAGAAAACTAGAGAGTTGTTCAGTACCACCTTTCCGTATTAGTCGTGACTCCCAGCTGGGACCTGCAAAAGCCATTCTAAGTATTTCTTGCCTGTTTCGGGGCAAAGTCTAAGAGGTGAGTTGAGCTGCTGCTGTACCAACTGTCTGTAACAGGAGCATCCCACCTCAGTTCCACTCAGCAGGAGGTTTATGCTGGCAGGTGGCACCTAGTAGCTGAGAGGCAGCTTAACAAGCAGCTTGGTACAATTTTCAGCTGCTAGTTACTAGCTCCTGCTCAGACACAGTTAGCGACTGTAACCATGTGAAATGTTTCTATGTGTGATAACACATCAAAAGCAGATTCAAATTTGGCATGGTAGCAAGCATGAATAAGCTCATGTCAGGATTAATTTTCATGAGGAGAGGCAGCGTAAGTGAAGCAGCGCTCCCCACAGATCTAAGGTTTGTACTACCTAAGGGCAGTGGACTCCGTATAAAGCATCTTTCTGCATTGTCTTTTGTTGCTTAAGTTATTCTGGGTCCTTAAGAGGAATTGTGTGTCAAGCCTCCTTTGGTAGGTAGAAGTTTGAGTGGCACCCATTATGTTACTAGAAGATAAATATTTAGAATACACTTTGCTCAGCTGTATCTGTTGAGTTTTTATTGGCATGACTAGTGTGCAGTAGCAAAGCATTCATATACACGGTTTGTCAGATTCCTGTTAAAACATCTGGGTCATCTTATGCAAAGGCTCATTTGTGCTGTTCAGCCTCAAGAGCTGAGCAAAATATTGGTAAAGAGTCCTGGCTTTTCATTGGTGTATTCTGATGTTCCCTCCAGACCATGAGTTGTTACCAACCGTAACAATCAAAATACTGATTAAAAGAGAAACTCAACAGGGGGTTCTGAATAGTGAGCAGGAGCATTTAGGTTTATTTCTTGTCACCTAAAGAAAAATTGATATGAACAACTCCAGTGCTGACTTATGAATACCCAGGCATGATTTTAAAGTGATTAGAATAAATCAGGTAAATGCTTATATGCAATTCTAAGTGCATGCAAGGCCTTAGCATTTCCTGGCTTGCAAAAAAAAAAAAAAAAAAAAAAAAAAGGGAAATTTATTAAACTGCATTGAAAAATAGGTCTCTTATTTACATTTCCATAAAAACATATTACGGGTTTTGCTATTTGCAGCTAACATCTCTGGGAGGGAAATGGATTCAAATTCAAGGGAAAATCCTGTCAGTTTGTGCTTCTGAGGGGAGTGTGTGAGAAACTGTGATATATGAACCAATACTTTGTTTTGTCAGAAAAGGGCTTTACATTTCTGTCATGCCCTGGTTTTGTTAGTTTCCAGCACATACCAGTGAAAAGAAACGACTTACACCATTACCCTTTCAGCTAGTCTCATGTAATTATGGATATTTTTCAGTCAGTTCCACTAACTTGCACAAAATGAATTTTTGAAGTGTTGCTTTTTGTCATAGATAACATTCAGCATGTGATACTTGTGTTGAGTACCTCAGAGTGTGATATCCCTCTTCTCTGAAGCGCTCTCTGTTCCAGAAGTATCTTACATCATTGTTTTGGTAATTTCCTGTATCAGTGAAACTATCCTGGTCTCTCTAGTGGTTTGGGTTTATGTTCAACATCCTAGATTTCTGTGTATCTGCTCTGAAACTTAAGGGGAGGAAGGAGGAAATATCCAAAACCAGAGTACTGTTTCTACTTTTCCTAAATAGTCATCTGAGGAAGACTGCTTGTGTTGCAGGTTACCTGTAAAAGTTGTTACACAGAATTCCCTGTATGTTTGCCAGTTGAAATGAGATCAGACATACTATGATTGCAGTGTATGTCCCTTGTTCTTAAAGTTTTACCTTAATAGCCTGTGCCTTCAAGTTTGGTCTGATTCAGTACAGGCTTTCTTGCATTCTTGTGTTATGTTAGCATTTATAATGAATTGTTTTGCTTGACCAGCAGCAGGTTACAGCCACTGGTTACTAAAACATGCTGGTACTGGACTTCAGATAAAAAAGAACCATCCAAGTGCTGGTATACCATTAGATTAATATAATCCAAAGTCATACATTAAAATACACCATTAGTGTAAACACTGTATTCTGTTTCAGTCTCAAGTTCTTCTTTCATTTCTGTAGGCTATTCATTCTGTTGCTTGGCATCATGAAGGAAAACAGTTTATGTGCAGTCACTCTGATGGCAGCTTGACCCTGTGGAATCTGAAAAGTCCTAACAGACCATTCCAGACCACAATTCCACATGGTAATTTTGATAGTTAAAATGTATTACTAAGAAGCAATACAATATTCTCCATGCTGTTTGCTAATAACTGTGTTTATTTCAGTTTTTATTGTAGCCTTGATCCAGAGTTGCTTCTTGCATAAATATTTTAATTTGCAAAGTAGCTTCAAAATGTAAAAATCAGAGAACAACTTTGATCAACCTTTGTTTAAATTGGTGTCATAAATACCTCTTACTGGATAATATTGCTCTAAAGTCTTCTTTTATCCAATTCATCTTAAGAGCCTACTGCTGGTCTTTGGGATTTGATGGGTTTGCTGGGCTATGGGATTTTTACATTCCTTTCTTTTGTGTTTTGTACTTATGTGCTCATATGTGCAATTTTCACAAGTAGTAATACATTTTGTACAAGTCACTGTGTTGCTTGTTATAGAGATGGTACAAGGCTTTCCAAGTCATTGCAAAGAAGAATTTAAAGGAGTCATATTTAGAAATGGCTGTGTCTTTTATGGCTGGAACTTTATATATTGGTGCTTCCTATAAATGAGGTAAAAAGGTATTGACTGTATTGCAAATCAGTACATTACCAAGAAGCCAGACTGGGCGGAAAGGAAGGAAGAAAGAGAAAGCAAGATCTTTGTAATCCCAGGAAAGTTTAAGCATTTTCTTAAATTTCTAATTCCTTTTATTTTAGATTCAGAATTGTACTTTATGTTTGAAGGGATCTCTCAGAGGTTCCCCGGCTCAAAACAGGCGTGATTAGATCACTTAGCTTAGGGCAGTGTCCAGTTGACAGTGGACAATTGAAAACTTCTAATGACAAATTGTCTCTGGGAAACATCTAGCATTTAATGACCCTCATGGTACAAATGCTGACATGAAAGGAGAATTTCCCAGGTCACAGCTTGAGTCCTTTGTCTCCTGTCATGTCACTGTGCACCTCTGGGAACAGTCTGGCTCCAAGTAAGCTTTATCCTCCAATCGGGTTGGTGTTGAAAGCAAGTACAGACTTTCCAAAGTAAAAAAAACCCAAACAAACAAAAAACAAACTAAAATTGTTGGTTTTTTGGTTTACAACTGACTTTTGTCTTGATGAGAAGAAAGTACTGCACCATAATTAACAAAGAACCCGTGAATTTCAACAGTACACGTCATGTAATTTTATCACTCAACTAGTTACACTCCAGAGAATGTAACATTTCCTCAACAAAAGGAATTGTGCCAATCTAAGAATGACACAGGAAAAAAAGTAAGGTGCTTATGCTCATGATCTGTTCAGAAAAAAAGGTGTACATTTGGTGTAATTCATTAATTACTAGTTCAGTGTCATCCTCGGTAATCTGCATGGATTTTAGATGTCTCTGAAGTGTGGTCTATGGTCCTTTAGACGTATGTGGCAGTAAAAACATAGTCATAACAAATATAATTAACTTAGACAAATGCATATTTTATGGAAGTGGGAGCTAATGCTCATCATCTTCTGTAGCTTTAAAGTTCCATTCTCTTTCTGCTTATACAGTTGCTTCAGTGCGTATGTTTTAATTTGGTAGTTCTATTATCGTGATGTTTTAATACAGTTTTCATCTTCTTTCTTGCCTCAGGAAAAATTCAAAGAGATGGAAAAAAACCTGAATCTTGTAAACCAATTCTTAAAGTAGAGTACAAGACCTGTAAAAACAGGTATGGTTTTCATTCTGTAATTAGCTCCATGTTACATTCCTAAGTTAAAGTCCTTTTAGAATCTTTCACACTCTTTTCACAAAGCAATTTATTATTGTTTAAAGGCATTAAACCTGTAATGTAAACTTGTATGTACTATGTAAACTTATAATTACTATGTTGATTTTTTTTTTAATACAGTGAACCATTTGTGATATTTTCTGGTGGACTGTCATATGATAAGGCTTGTCGAAGACCGAGTTTAACAATCATGCATGGGAAAGCAATTACAGTTCTTGAAATGGATCACCCTATAGTTGATTTTTTAACTCTTTGTGAAACCCCATATCCAAATGGTGAGTTTATTAAGCAAATGCTGTTATAGAGAATATAAATGAAGAGGTCTTCTCTCTTACCTTAATTCCATTCCAGGGACTTCCAGTCTCACAGTTGTCTCTACCTCAAGAAAACCACAGCACTGAAAGTAACTGGAACCTGTTTGCATTCTCAATGTAGGAAGCAAGTAATGAGTGAACAATAAAGCATGCATATATCTCCAGATATAAGCTTGAAACACATGGGCTAGTGTGAGGAAATATTGCTATTAATCAAACATGTGCTTATATTTCTGACATTTTTCATGAGGCTTAAAATCTGCAGATGGCTAAATTATAGAATATTAAAGTATTACTTAACTGCAAAGAAGTTCTTACACTTCAACCTGAATTCAACTGTTAAAATGTGTCAAATAAAGTGACACTTCCCAGTACTAGGATTTTGAAGCCCCTTCCCAGGCTCATACAGTAATATTTAAAAATTGGGGATTAACCTGTGTTATTCATAGCCTTGTATAAAAACAGGCCACAAAGAATGAGCAATAATTTCACATACTTTTTAAAATCACTTTCATCCTTTGTAAACTAACACATCCTATGCACCAAGGGAAGCATTTGTCATTTTAATTGTTTATTTTTGATAAATGAAAAAAGTCATTAAATAAAAAACCAAACAATATAATCTACTTAAGAATGTATGGATGGAAGTAACATGTCAGTATCTGAATTGAATACAGCAGACTTACAGGATTCTTTTGGAATTGCTTTAGAAATGAAGGCATTGTGTATCATGAAGTGGACTGAACCAGCTGTTCACCATCAGGTTTTGAAGAACAGTTAGAAGTGTTACTACTGGACAGCAAAAATACATTTTCTGTATAAAAATTGGATTCAGCAATGCAGTGATACACACAACTTACTCATATTCTATTTCTTTACTTTCAATATACCATCAGACTGGCATGTTAAGATATGCCAATTCTGTTTCTGTTACGTATATTGATCAGCAATACTGCCCAAAAGTAATTTCCCAATTCCTGTCTGGCCCTAGTTTGCAGATATGTCTAGTTCATGGATATGTCTAGGATTTATGTCTTAAAACTTTTGTTTACTACACTGTGAATGTTTAGAGAACATAAATATGACTTACTTGTTTAAAATGACGAACACATTGGAGAACTCCATGTCTTTATACTTACAGAATTTCAAGAACCCTATGCTGTAGTTGTGCTTTTGGAAAAAGATCTCATTGTTGTTGACCTGACACAAAGCAAGTAAGTATGAGTTCTTATATGAAGTTATTTGTTTATTTTAACTGTGCAGGAAATCATAATAAAAATCCAAATATTATCATGCAGTGTCATTTCCTGTCCAAAATCATTCACTCCTGGTAATAATTCACTCTATATTTCTACCTGCATTGTAAGAGCTAAGCTCAGCTAATCAACAAACAATATTTGTTCTTAATTTGGGGAATAAATGTGAATCTACTGTCCCTTCAGCATAACCCTCAAACATTCACTCAACATTGCAGTTAAGTAATATTTGGTGACATGATGAATTATGACATGCATGTGTGTTTTGGAAACCAGATACAATTACTACGTATATGCATGCGTAACTTCATTAGGCTTCACAGGTACTACCACTGAAGTATTTATTTAAGTGTCTTGATAAGAAATGGCATTGATTTATAGTGAATCTACAGGATTATTTTATGATCCAGTTAGTGGATTAAATGACAACTAGTTCTTTCACATCAGAATTAATATTCATATCAAAAAGAAACTATACATCATGTAATGCACAATCTAATTCTTATTTATTTTGTTCTTCCTCCAACACTACCAGTAATGTACATCCACATTCACAGTGGATTAACTACGAACAGATTTTGCCCTTAATGTCTTGGAACATTTTAAGTGACTCATATTCTGATCTCACTTTCAAGAATACTTCAAATCATCGTAGCATACAAAATGGATGGAACTGAAATCAGAACCAAATTTCCTACATTTTTGAATTGTGAATAACATTGTGTAATATGCCAGTAGTGAGGCCTTCCTTCTTATCAGACTGTCCAAACTGATAGAAGCAGGAAATAAACAGAGGTCTACTTCATCTGTTATTGCAATTGTTTATTGTAGAATCAGTAGTCGACCAACTTAATAAGCTAAAATGCTCAGTATAAAATCCATGGATGTATAAGTAGTTCTTAGGTCATAGTATATATCATATGCATTGACCTGAAGGTTCTAAAAAATGTGTCACTTCTGAGATATTGGGAAAAATGAGTTCCTAAATAGTTCATTCACACAAGGAGTCCTATTCACATGAATGCGTATTTATGTTACAAGACAATTCTTGTCACAGTAGTGAAATATTTATATTTTCATTTGAGTAACTACACATTATTATTGACATTAAAAACAATGAATATATTTTAATAAATATGGGGAAATGTACTTTATTAGTAATGATTTTACTTAGATTCTGTTACACACTTTAATATAAGAGTATGTTTTATTCTATGGCTCAGTGTGTCACAGTGCTTCTAATAAATTGTCTTCCTTAACTAGTTTTCCAATCTTTGAAAATCCATATCCTATTGACATTCATGAGTCACCTGTTACCTGCACAGAATATTTTGCGGACTGTCCTCCAGATTTGATTCCTGTGCTCTATTCTGTAGGAGCAAAACATAAAAAGCAAGGATACAGCAATAAGGTAAGCAAAGCCAGTATTTCTATAAAGAAAAACAAGTGCAAGTACTACCTATGTTTTTGAAACATCTTACCAAACAATTTTCATTTTATTTCTTTAATAATTACTTTCAAGTTGGTCCAACAAGCAGCTTAGCAGCATGCTTACAGCCTGGTATTTATCCCTCAAAAACATCATCTATTAAGCACAACCATTAATAAGCATTATATAGGACTTAATTGTTAGGGTGCTGGAGTTATGCCAGATTGACTTAAAGGAAAGCTATCAGTATATAATTCAAATATGTATGGATAAGTTCTCTCTATCAAAGAAAAAACTGAGAACACTATTACTGAAAGAAGTCAGCAGAGAAGCTTCAGTGAAAGTTGAGGATTGACAGCAGGTCTGTAAGAGTTTTATTAAATAGGGTTATTAATAATTACTGAGCTACCAAAGTCTTTACATAATGCTTTTAGAAATGGGACAAGCTGCAGAAATATAAAAAGGAAATGCAATTATTTTATAAATTTCAAGCCTTAATCTGATTTATGTTTGGAGTAGAACTAATCCATCATAATAAATAAATTAGAAAATATATTGAGTAAACAAATCGGACATCATCAGATTTCTGTTCAGGCTAACAGAATTATGCTCCTTGGAGCTGCCTTGTTTTCTCTGAACTGAGAAACTGGGCCCTATCTACTTCTTTTTGGATCTTGATCCAGCAGAGTACTTCCAAAAAGATTTTTTCTTTTTTTCTTTCTTGAATTTGTCTGCTTTTCTATCTTTACCTCGTATACATAGTTTCTGAAACTTTCACCACCTACCTGTATTCATTGCACACACTCTTGTCCCCTTGCTTTATTTGTGCACATACAAATATATCCTCTGAATGTAGGTAGCCTCTCATTTGCCACTCACCCATTTCTGTACCCACAAGCATCCACTCCATGTATCCATCCACACAACCAGTTTGTGCTCCCAGGATTTTTCACCCATTCATACTCTGCACACATCCTCCCCCACTCTATGCATATGTCATCCTCCACATCCTGTATGTGGTATCCATACACATGAAGCTTTAGTCACAGACCAGCATTTCACACTACCAGCCTAGACCAAGGAAGAGAATGGGGGTCTTCCCACAAGTAAACAAAAGGCAGAGAGGAGATGATGGTTTCATATGTTCTGTAAAACTTGCATTCTCTTTTCTCCTATTTCATGGCATCATGCTCAGATATTTGTTCCTGGGCCAGTTTCTTCAGAAGTCTTCATCCTCAAAACAGATTCTCAGTCTATTCCGTGTTCTGTAGAAACTCCAAGAGTCAAGCCATCTGAAGAGAGTAGCAGAACTGTTTGATACTCCTTCCTCTAGTTCCTGTTTTGGATTTTTGAGTGTTAGCTGTGCAGAATTACTTTTAAAGCATAGAACTTTAACTGATAGTGTAAAAATGTTATTGTTTCAAAATCCTTATTGATAACATAAAAATGTAATAAACTTTAAAAGTCTTGAATGTCTTTTATGAGTTCTATTGCTTTTTTCAGTAAGATGTTGTCTACTCCTGAGTTTAAAAATTACCCAAGAAAGATTGATCAGAATTAGTTGTGATCTCTGTACTTTTGTTGTTTGTTCAGGAGTGGCCTATCAGTGGTGGAGCATGGAACCTTGGAGCTCAGACATATCCTGAAATCATTATTACAGGGTGAGAATGAAACTGAGGATTGGTACTTTTAAAATGTTAGTGTCTACAACTTTTGATTGTGGGTTAGCTATAGTTAAGAGTTGACCCTTCACAAAGTATGCGTAGCCTGGCCTTTTCATTTGAGGTACATAGTTTTTTCCTTGTCTTGAGTAATCACAGAAATTCCCATTTGCTGTAGAAAATAAACTTTGTCCTTGGGGATGAACTACCGTTAAGAATTACCATTTGAGGCTCCAGAGTTAGACAGAAAGTTTATATACTTGTGCAGGTGGGGTCTTTGGAAATGAGAATCCTTTGCAAGAGAATATTTTGGCCTTGAAGGGCATAGAAAACAGCTTTGAAAAGGGGAGCAGCTGCTCTTCTATAGCTGTTGTCTTTTGGCTTTCTGGGGACTTTTTATCTGGAGACAGTTTAGGAATTCTTTTTAATACCCTGGCATTAGTGAGGGTGTGGTGAACTGGGATGAATTTCACCTTGTGAGTGGAGAAACAATCCATAGCAAAAAGGCATAGAAAGGCTCAGATTGAAGTAGAAGCCCTAAGAGCAATGCCTGATGGATTTTCAAGGAGCTGACCTTTAAAACAAAAGCTATTCAACTATGACGCATGCTGTTTCCTTCTTGTTTTAACACATTTAATTTTCATCTTTTCTTTAAGCCATGCAGATGGATCAGTAAAGTTTTGGGATGCTTCTGCCAGTAAGTTTCTAAAGTTCACTTCTATATAATGCTGACAACACACACATATATATATAAGACATGATATTTAACAATAGGAGTAGTAATAGCTGGAAATGATATCATTAGGAATAATGAGGTGAAATTAAGCAAATTTTTATTAAATTATGGAAAAAAACACTTTTCCGACCTTACTCAGTTATTAATTAATGCCACTGATAAATGAATGTAAAAGTAGTAAAAAGCAGGGAGGAATCTCAATAAAACAAAATAGGGTTACTTATACTCCCTCCTTTACCTCCAGAATTCAATGCATTCAAGTTCTAGTCTTGGCAAAGGCTTCTAGATATTAAGGTTCTTTATACAAATAGAAAGACAAATATACTTATTAGTCAAAAAACTCAAAACATTATAGAACTCAGAAAGGAACTCCTGTCTGTTGTGTTGTCCAGGCCATCAGAATACTTCCCTAATGTTTGCTCTTAAAGCGCCACACAGTCTTTACGTTCTAGCAAAATCTTGGTTTCACATCTTATTAGGCAAATAGCAGCTTTATCACAGCCTCTCTATAACCTTGAGTATAAGCCTAATAATTATGGACCTAATGGGTAGCATACACCTTTGACATCCTGTCCCAGAAAGTACTAAGTATTTCAGAGGCAAATACCCATTTTGAAGTATTAAATACATATCCTACCAGTACTGCACACCAGAATAATATCTGTATTGTATAATACCCATCTTCTTCTCCTCTTAGGCCTTCATAAGACTTTTTGTTATGCCTGAACGGAAAAGAAAATGAGAACCAAGGAATTTTATAGCATACTTATTTCATGTTAGTCAGTATTTTTTATGTTTTAATGTATTCCAGTTACTCTACAGATGTTGTACAAATTAAAAACGTCAAAGGTCTTTGAAAAACAGAAAGTGGGAGAAGGAAAAGCAACAGCTGAGATTGTGGAAGAAGACCCATTTGCTGTTCAGATGATGTACTGGTGTCCTGAAAGCCGAATTTTCTGTGTGGCAGGAGTTTCTGCTTATGTGGTTGTTTACAGGTTCAGCAAACATGAAGTAAATACCGAAATTGCAGTAAGTCCTTCAGAATTTTACTCTATTATAGAAGAACATCATGCCGAAAGCAAATTGCCTGGCTGTGTCTGTGATCAATACTTGAAGAAAATTAAATACCAAACTCTTTAAATATAGGTTGAGTGACATTCCATTTTAAACCTTTCGAGTGAAATCTTGATGCTGTTTAAGTCAGTGACAAGCATCTGAGTTTTTGGGAGCCAACTCTCTACTTTTTTGCTTTAACAGTAAAGTAACAGTAGAGATTTCAGACATAATTTGCTTTTAAGAGTTTATGACACAGTAAATCTCTGTTGTACTTAACTGCTCTAAAAATACTGGCTGCTGTATGTTTTTATCAGATTACATTATGTATGTACGTAATAATGGTCTTTTTAACTCCAGTATTTCATCTGTTTAATTTACATTCATAGTGTTTGTACCACAGGGGAACTGAAAATCATCCCTGGTTTTTTGTTGCTTTATCCTGCTCAAATACTCCTTTTTCAGTCTGCATGTCTTAAGCAGTCCCCTTATTCAGGAAGAATCATACAGTTCTTGTTCCTTTAACTGCTCTGCAGTCACCTTCTACTTACTGTTGTACAGCAAGTCTGACCTTGGTTTAAACCTTTTTTTTTTGCACAGGAGCCACAGCCACTGCTAACAGCGTGGCTGAACAGGATTTTTAATGCAAAACATTCTTTCTTAAGTCTAAGAGGAAACTTAAGTCTTAGTCTTTCTTAAGTCTACAGGAGACTACTCTTAAGGCAAAGCCAAGCTAAACATGACAGCGTCTACTTCAGGCTTGCCATTCTCTGGTGCTGGAGAACAGTTTGCAACTTCAGACACTCTCTTGCCAGAAAATACTTCTTTGTGTCTGCCAGCTCTCAACAAAACCCCAGAAGTTGACCCAAAATGTTGTTTTCGTTTTCCACCTTCCCTGACTACAGTTCCTTCCCATTTCATGCTATTCTAATATACTTTAGAAAGTCTATCATTTTTGGCCTGTAGCCCTGTGCCATCAACTAAGGAAATTCATTACCTATATCTGTACTCTTGTTCTCCTCTTACTTTTCCCCTTAGAGGCAATTATGAAGCTAGCTGAATGTATCCTTTCAGGAAAGTTTTAAAACTAATGAACAGTAATTTCAGTGACCAGGTCATGTATAATGCTGCTAAAATTACTACATTTCAGTATTCTTACATTGTTCCATAGCAAAGGCACCTTATCTTCTATTACCTATCATTTCATTTCTTTATTTTCCTGTCTCACTTTTGTGGCTGAATTGCATCAGAACTGATATTTTCTGAAGTGTTAATATGTGCAATTTAACAGTTTCTCAACTTTCATCTGTAATTAAGAAGCATTTATATGAGGAATTGTTCTCTGAAGAGTTGCTTTAATATTGTCTAATCTTGGTGGCATAGTCACTGAGCTCCCCTGGGTTTAGTGCATCCCTGAGATAGACCTTATCTCTTTTTTTTCCCACATTTTTGCTGCAGGCATTCAAGTCTTCACTATTAAATGGGGGTGAGGTGGGGGTGGGGGTACTAAGAAAAAGTATGGAAGTCTTTGTTTGAATATGTACCTGAATTTAGGTTGTCTGGCTTTGTCTGCACTGAGTCTGACCTGGTCAGTCTCAGGATTTCTTTGCGGCCTGAGGTGAGCCCAAGTTCTAGCACTTAGTGTACTCTCTTCTGTAGCAGCCAGCCTGAGGTCTCCTTGAATTCATTCTACAAATCCCAGCATTTTAAGGAGTCCATGTTGGTTTGACTGCCTGATGCCAGTCTTGTAGTGTTACTGCTGTGGTAAATGGGAAGCATGGAGGCTACTCAAGGTTCCTCCATGTAACAGGGAAGTCTGCTGCTGAATATGCCTTAGAGGCACAGGCTGTGCCTGAGATTTCCTCAATAGAAATATTATTTGCATCATTCCATATCAGATTTTGGAGGCAAATAGTATGCCTGAGACCAGTTCTGCTTTATATCCAACCTTAGAGTCATTGCCATGGTTGAGCAGAGTAACTTCTTTCTGAAATCTTACATGTTTTAACACAGTGGTTGAGAAATAGGGGAGCTTTCAGAACTTATCTTTATCTCCCAGTTCTCATTAAAAGAAGGTATTTTCTTAAGCTCCATTCTGCTACTGATGATTTCTCAGTGAGAGATCACAAAGATGGAGTTTGCAGTATCTACATCTGCAACGGCTTCTGATCACTTCAGGGTACCAGCACTGAAATTACTGTTCAACTGGCAATCCCAAGACCCTCTTTGAGGACTGTACCTTTTTTTTTATTCTTTACAAAATAGGGATCTCCTTGGACAATTCATGAGGTAGAAAGAATTGGCCAGTATTTACTGTGATTCTCTGAGGTGGTTACTTATACAGATTTGAGCTCCCTGTCCTGTTTCCCTTGTGTTTTGGAGTCCTTCTGTTAAGGTTTCCTGAACTAGTGGGAAGAATTGAAGGGTGTTTGAGCCTGGCTGGTCTCCTTGTCTCTATCTAAAGAGCCCAGAAGGAAAGCAAAAGGTAACTGGTTTGAACTTCACTTTCTGCCAAACTCACGTTCAGTCTAGAAATTGTCCTCAAAGAGTTGAGCTCTCAGTGCTGTTATCACTGATTCCCTGAACCGCACCTGTGGACTAATGTTCTTTCATCAGTGCTACCCACACTGTCAGACTTCGGAATACTGGCTAAACTCTGTCTTGTAGAGACTTTGTTGTATAAGCAATAAGGAGGCGGAGTTAGGTGCTTGTGGAAAAGAGAACAGCCAATATGCAGAAAATTTTCCTGAATGATTCCTTCTGATGCCAAAATATTATTGGGGGGGAGGGGAGTATGTGTGAATGGTTAACTTCTCTTTTCATATAAATTCTGGAAAGCTGTATTCTTGCCTTTCACGTACAGCAAAAAGCTTGCATCAAAGTCAGCACTGGAAGAAATAAGCACAGATTTCTCCATCAGCATAGGGTAGATGACTGCTTCCTCTCTGATGTTGACAGTATTCTTCTCCTGCAAATGATAATGATAAATGGGGGGGGAGTGTACATTTTTTTTTTTTAAAAAGCTGTCTGATATTTATTTGAAAGTAACCAAACTTCCAGCAGTTTTCTTTATTAAATTGTAACTGAGCTTTTTCATTATTTCAGTCATTAGAGGTACGACTTCAGTCTGAAGTAGAAGATATTATTACTCCTGAACCGGAAATAATTCCTCCATTTCCAGATGCCTCATCCCAGCTTCCTTCTTTAAAGAGCCTTTCAGGCAGTACCAACACTGTAGCATGTGAAGGAACGATGAAGGATAGTATCCCATGTCTTAGGTAAGTCTGTGCTGTTGTTCAAAGATTTATCTTTCTAAAAAGCATTCCTATCTATTGTATTAACAATCTATCAATTATTAAGCAAGTGGTGAATCGTATGTATACAACACAAAATGAGAAGAAATCAGAACATGGAAACAAACAAAATGACTGAGGCAAAATAATCAACAAGGAATTTTAAAAGGCCAGAAGTAACTATGGAGAAGATAAACTTTTACAGTAAAGGCTTGGCTGTAATTTTCCAGTATGATCTAGGAGTTTATCTTCATCTCATAACCATGATTTAGAATGAAATACAAGCACTGCAGGATACATCAACGCATTTCTGACCAACTGTTTTTTTTTTCGAGGCCACAAAGAGACTTCCATAAAGCTGACATATGCAGAGCTTCCCATACTTGGCTACTCAGCGTAACACTAAAATCTTTCTTTGTGAAATAAGTATATGCATTTTATGGTGTGTAAGGGATAGAAACTGTGTTCAAAGTCATGAAAAAATCTGTACATTATACAATTCTAAAAAAGATGCACTGTGTAGACGTGTACCTATATGTTTAATGTTTCATAGAAGCATAGAATCACAGAATAGTTTGGGTTGGAAAGGACCTTAAGATCATGTATTCCCAACCACCTAGCCTGTCTTCATAAGGGAGGTGCTCCAGCCCCCTGATCATCCTCATGGTCTCCTCTGGACTTGCTCCAACAGCTCCATGTCCTTCTTATGTTGGTGACACCAGAAGTGCACACAGTGCTGCAAGTGGGGTCTCACAAGTTTAGAAAGAAGCAAATTGTTGTCTGCAGGAGTACATTTGGAGTAGATTGATATGTTCTTACTAATAAGGCAGATAAATTATGGGTTTGAATAGACTAAAAACAGAATTCTGTACAAAACTCCATAAACTGCAATTGTGCAGCAATTATAGTGCATTGCTGATAACAATTGCTCTCATTTTAATGAACTCATTATTATTTCAGTCTAATTATTATTAAATATTTTAAATGCCTCAATTATTTCAAAGCCAGTTTAAATGAACATCGCCTGACTTTGCAGATACTTTGGGCTGTTGAGCTCCTGAAAATAGCATTAACATTGACAAGCAATAACATGACACTGTTCTTGTAAAATGAACAATATTTTCTGGCATCCTGTTGATCTGTCACCCTCATTCAGTCAGGCAGTTGAACCACAGACCTCAGTTTAATCCTGATGTAAACCATGAAAATCAGTAGAAAAGGCAAAGAGAAGTTATTTTAAAAATCCCAATGTGAAATCCATTTATGACACTGAAATCAGCAAGACTGCAATCAATTCTTTCAGTGGCTAAGATTTTCCTTTAAGGGATTCTTAGTTGATTTTGTGTGGGGAAGAGAGGAATGGTTTATCTTGGAGGCAGAAGATCTGTAATGAAATAGTAGAGGTTTCGCTGGTTAGCTTGCTTAACTCCACATAACCTCACCTTAAGCTGCCAACTGATTTTTATCTAATTTTACTCAAAGTAAATGACAACTTATTTTGACAGAAAATTGATTTGTTCAAAGTGAAAATAATTCCACTACTAGACTTGCTGGCATGGTCCCTCTTACAGTTTATGTAAAATACAGTTTTATATAAAACGTATACACTCTCATCCTTTTTGATAGGGAAAGGCATATAAATATCCACACTTTTCTCCCAAACCCTAATTGGGTCCACATTCCTCGTGTTTCAAAAAACTTCTGTTTTAAGCAGAATTCCAATCATAAAATGGAAGTAGTGCTGGTAACACAGAAAACCCAACAGAAACTTGGATGATGCTTTTGTCTTTATATGCAAGTCATTCAGGTGGGCAGCAGTACAGAATCTAAGATACAGCAATAATAACTTAAAAGCTGCAGCCACCTACACATGCAGGGTGTGTAACTTGAAATATATTTATAATCCACATAAAATTTTATATACAGAATAGCTTTTAATCTTGGCTCTATTGTGTTTATTTTCATATCTGCTTCTCAACCTTGTTAGAGGAATGGGTGGCACTTGACATAATTTTGGCTACTCGGAATTCAGAATGACTGAGCATGTTTGCGTCTGCAAATAGATATTAGAAAGAAAGTGACTGAAGGCCAGTCAAAAACTTGGCATTTTTCTGAACTCAAAAAGTAGATGTTTCCCAGAGAGGCACGCAGCAGTGTGGAATAAATATTGTCCTTGCTTATTTCAGAAGATTTTAGAATGAAATATTCAGCTATAATAACCTAAGAAATTGATATATTTGTTATTATGCAGATAAATATTTTTGATGTAAATACTGTCGTCAAAAGGCTGTATCCAGAATGTAAGTCTTTGTTCCCAGATATTAATATCATCCCAAAAGTAGTTCAATCAAGGGTTTTGACAGTAGCTCCAAAATTATAAAGATCTATGATTATCTCGTGAAGAAAACCAGAACCCAAGACTTTGCAATGACCAAAATCAGTGTCGCTTAACAAGATCATTTGTCAATTACTGTCATAGGCAAAGCATACTCAACTTAGGGAAAAGAAATATCATTTATTGATGAATAAAAGAGTGAGAAACAAAACCAGCATCTGGAACGCCTGCTTTCTACCCTCCTTTATCCCCATCTTCACGCCTTCATTCCTAACTCCTCTACCTCCTCCACCCCGAGCACTGCAGAGGGTATGGTGGGTGGTGGTTGTGGTCAGGCTGTAACAGCTCCTCTCCCCTCTGCCATTCCTTCCTCCTCACTCTTTTCCCTGCTCTGGTGTGGGGTCCTTCCCACAGGGTACAGTCCTTCAGGATAAACCTGCTCCAGCATGGTCTCTCTGGAAGCCAGAGTTCATTCAGGAAATATCCACTTGTTCCACCATAGGATCCTCCAAGGGCTGCAGTGTGGATATCTACTCCACTGTAATCCTCTCCACAGGCTGCAGGGGAATCTCTGCTCCTGTACTTGGAGCACCTCCTCTCCTACTTCTTTCACCTTGGTACTTCTGCTGCTGTTTCTCATATTTCTTTTTCCCTCACTTCTTGCTCCCAGGCAACATTTTCCACCCTTTCTTAAATCGGTTTTCCCAGAGGTGCCACTGGCTTGGTTGAGGGGCACTGCTGCATCTTGCCATGGGTCTGTGGTACAGACAGCTGGAACCAGCTAGAATGAGGCTGTGTCATGCATGGGGCAGCCCTGGCTTCTCCTCACAGTGCTCCCCTCTGCCCCCAACTTCCAAAATCTTCCCAACTTCTGTACTTCTGCAGTCTGAAAGGGGAAAAGTTAGGAGCTGCTCAGGGTCATGAAGGGGAGAGATGTTCACATCTTTGAAATCCAAGTAAAGGTCTCATTCCTCATCCTGAAATGCTGTGTATGTTCTGCTGTGATATCCAGATAATGTGATACCCAGAGGTGTGACCCCATATCCTCAGTAGAATAGATATACTCTGACAGGGCTATGGAGTTTGAGGAGGCTGCAGGACATGAGAAAGTTGCAGATGACTGTGAAAGGCATTACACACCTAACAGTAAACTGTTCTGCTCCTTCACCAACTGCACCAGTTGGTGCTTCACTTGTATTCCTATTTCTGTATGTCCTCTCTTCAGGCTTGACACAACCATGTATTAGCTCTAACAAGGTGTCTTGTTACTACAACTATACCACATGCTTATCCGGTCAACCTGCGTTTCAGAGTCTTACCTTACTACTGCTATGACTGGCTTTTGACTCCCATAATTTTTTGGCATGCTAGCATTGTATGTTACTGTGTCTTGCAGTCTTTCACCCACTGTGGGTAACAAGGCTTCTTATGCAAGACAATGAAAGCAGTTTCTTTCTTGTCTCTAACTAGGCAAATAAAGTACACTTCTCCATTTACACATTGTCACAATGAGATTCCCTTCAAGTTTGGGTCAAGACTATGTCTGTTAATTGTTTCCTTTTGCTTGTGTGACTGCAGCAATCCTGAGTGGGGAAGGAGGAGTGGTAGTCCAGACTGGGCTGCTGGTCCTGGACAATCAGGAGAGAGGAAAAGGAGGAGAGGAGAAAGCATCCTGCTTGCTGAACTATGCTGTCATTGTCTTTCCTATGACAAGATCCAAGCTAAGTAGCTGATTATCCAGATAAATGGATATGTAAGGTCTGAACTGTACAACAAGCAAAAGAAATAGAATAGTGTGCCAAGCCACTGTTAAGGTAAAGCATTTAGAAAGATAGATGAGGAATGACTTTCTCATGAAATAATAAATAAGGGAAAGGTTTGGCAGGGATAGTGAAGCCTCTACAATAAAAATACAAGCAGTACAACATAAACTGCATTATGGAAAAGGTTAAACAATCTGAGACAGGGTGTGACTGTATTTTGAAAGGCTGTTATCAAAGATGTTGTATTAGGAGCAGGTGCCCAGTTGCTGGTGCGGAGGCTGCCCTGGTGTCATTCTAGGATTACATTTTGCTTCTTTTTATTTCCATTTTCTGCATCTTATCTTCAATTTTCCAAGGTTTCCAATAGCCCTATTTGTCACCACAGCCTCCATCCCAAAAGATGCAGTCAGTGTAGCTACAAAAAACTTAATAGCCCTTGTTATTTTAATGAGGAGCTTGAATATCCTCTCTTGAAAGAAGTGCTTACTTATGTGCTTTGGACTAGAAATTACTTGGGGTTTTTTCCAATCTGATCCATCATCTTTTCAAGTGTACAGGCCAGGGCTGCTTGGGAAGCTTGCTGAGTCACATCAAAGTCACATTCAGGAAGCAGTCTGCATCATCGAAGTCATCAAAGATCTATTCTTTAAGATCCAGTACATAGGACAGTACTGCTTCAACTATTTATGATAGAGATACATGGATACAGAAGCATTTACAGTAGAAAGAAATATTATGTGCCAAAAATTGCAGTTTTTCAGAATGTGTTGTCCAAGTCTATATTAACTAATTGCTCCCCTTCTTCTCCCGATTTTTAGTTTTCCCTTGGGTACTATTTTTCACAGGGATAGAGGATTATATGTGATAGACTGCCCTATTATGACTGTGTGCAGAGGGATGCAACATAAGCACTCTTACCATTTACAGCTACAGTAAAAACACACTGGCCAGTTGGCTTTACATATAAATTACTACCTACAATGAAAGCGTACTAATGAATAACATGAATACCTCAAGTATTGCTGGTTTTGCATATATCTTCTTTCAGTGTATCATCATGTTATGTTCTTCCAGTCAAGAACATGCATAAAGCAGCCATATGGAAGTGTTCAGTTCTCACACTCCCCCTTAATATGTATACCTTCACTATGTTCTTTGCAAGTCTCCCAACCTGCCGTAACAGAATATGAGGAGGTGTTAATAATTATATCAGATTTATGTAGGAAGCATTCATTCATTAAGACCAGATTACATACTAGGTGATCATACTACTAAGAAGAAAAACAGCATTTGTTTGCACAAGATGGACAAATAGAAATGCCAAGAGTGTAAGTTTTGTATATACAATGGTGAGGACCACTACAGAAAGATACATCCTCTCATTTTCTCTTACCTCTTTGCTTTTATTCCATCATAGAATAATAGAATCAGAATGGTTTGGGTTCGAAAGGACCTTAAGATTATCTAGTTCCAATCCTGTGACATGGGCTGGGACACTCACCCTAGACCATGTCACCCAAGGCTTTGTCCGACCTGGTCTTGAATGCTTTACTTCAGAGCAAGAAAGTTCCAAAAATACAGAAATGTCCTGTGTCAAAGTTTCAGAAGAAATTATATTAGGTTTTCCATTCCAGTTGATTGTTCATGGTGATTTTAAAAGTGTGCATTACATGGTTTGAGAAAATATTCTGAAAAAGGAAAATCAAAGCAAAATGATTAAGCAAAAAAGATTTTTATCAACCCCCCATCTACAACTTCTCCAGAGTTTCTCTTGTAAGGAAGAGATTTGAGAGGAATTTCAATCTTACAAGATTCTCTTGTAAGGAACAGAATTGAAAGTCAAAACCTGTAATTCCTCCAAAATATCCCTGTTCTCATCAGAATGCCTCATTTCAATGTATGGGTATATGCATAGTATGCTGCAAGTACTGGTACTGCTTTGTACTTACTATGGGACTGTGCTTCACTAGTGGTTTCTCAAGAGAAGCAGTTGTTATTCATGGCCCAGTTTGTTTGTTTGTTTGTTCTTATTTTGTGCCTCTTGTTTTTAGTGTTAAGACTCGTCCTGTGCGAATGCCTCCTGGATACCAAGCAGATCTTGTTATTCAGTTGGTGTGGGTGGATGGTGAGCCTCCACAGCAGATTACTAGTCTTGCTGTAAACTCTGCTTATGGACTGTAAGTAACTGTGGATTAAGGTTGCATTTTTTGGTTTATTTTACTAAATATTGTCTTTTCAATTGTACTTTGAAGTTTCCCGCAAACAATTAAAATCAAAGTAAAAAGAATCAAAAGGTGCTATAAGCAAGACTCTTGGGGAAAAATGATTTGAACTTCCATAAAGATTCAAACATGAGCTGTTAAACTGCTATTCTTGCCAGCATTTTTACTATTCTGATTTAAAAGACTGAATCTTTTCACATTACTCTGTCTATCCTTTAAAATGAAATCTGATTTCAAATCTGTACATTTTAAAGTTAGTTTGAAAGGATCACCAACGTGAAATACATTTCATAAAAGTGATGTGATTAAGTGCTAAAGGTAATTTATCATGACATTATATTTTAGGTAGAAATTGTCTTCTGAGAATAGCATTTTTATGATTGTGCTAATTTCTGTTTACAAGAGAACCAGTGACCTGAAATTGAAAGTGGAATAAAGTACATTCAGATGCTAAATCCTGTATGGATATGCAAGTGAGCGTATCTGTATATATTTTTTTCCTTGGTTTCAATTTATTTGCCAATTGTTAATGTTTTCTCTTACTGAGAAATGTCCAGATATATTAAAATGGTTTTCCCTGTAGCAGGTGTTACTCCAGTAAAAACTAGAGGCTGTAATGGGTATTAAGTGTCTGACTCCCACTGATTTTCAGTAAATTACTTGACTGTCTTCAGAGACTTTGGAAATTTTATGCTCAGCCTTTACATTTGTGCAAAAATACTATAATTTGGGGGTTGTTTTGTCAAGTCTTTGGCTTCAATTTCCAGACAATTTCGTATTCATGAACTTTGAAAGTTTCATAGAATCCCAGACTGGTTTGGGTTGGAAGGGACCTTAAAGCTCATCCAGTTCCAACCCCCTGCCACAGACAGGGACACCTTCCACTAGAGCAGTTTGCTCCAATCCTCATTCAACCTGTCCTTGAACACTGCCAGGGATGGGTTTTCTTTTGTTTTACCATACCTGGATGCATTTGTCAATTGTTAGGGTTTGCTTAGGGTGCTCCATTGCAGGTATCAGGTTTTAAGGCAGCATCTGACTTCGGGAATAATCACACCCTTATCTTACCTGTAAACTACTGACAGGTTCCAGTTCTCATGGCACTCAGTGGTTTCCTAAACGTACCTGATTCAATCAAATGCTTTCAATTGTGTACTTTGCTAGGAGCAGTAGTAATTTACAGGATAGCCTCCTTTAAAACACCATATAATAACTACTCGAGTGTTTCAGCAGTGAATGCATTTATTAATAAAATAGCCCAATAATCTAAATATAACTTTCCCACAAAAACTACCAAAGAAAGGCCTATTTCTTTAAATTTCTTGTGCAGAGTCTCTTCTCTCTCCCTCTCTCTTGCCTCTGTCGACTTTTATCTTGGGTCTACAACAAGGTACAATCCTACCTTTTATATAGCCTCACAGTGAAAAAACTGTACCACTTCAGCATGAAGCTTGAGAATGTGTCATTTTTGCTGTGGTAGCTGTAGGGTTATTTGGCTCATCTTTTGCATACCAGGTTTTTTTCTTATCCTAATCAGTTTAACTAGGAGGAAGGCATAAGATAGTGTGTTCTGGAGTGTCTGCTTCCAGTGTTCTTTTAATTACTTTGATGTCTCTGTTACTGATGTTACCACAGCCATGACAGAACTAAAGCGAGATAGAACAAAAATTGACCCCAAGCAAAGATAAAAGTCTTCGTTCATTGTTAAGCTTTATTTAAGGTATTTTGCTTGCTTTTAAAAGGACCAGGCTACAAACTAGAAGTATAAACACCCGTTCTATTGTTGTTGAAATGAATTCCCAAAAAACTTCTGTATGTTATGAAAGGAGGAAAGAAGCAATTACAAAATGCATCAGTTAGCACTGAAGATCTACAAGGTTAAATACAAATAATCAATTTGGTTTAAAGTATGTACAGTTGGACTGAAAGCAGTCCCTGGAAATGTATTACCAGCTCATGTGATAAAAATGTCTTGGCCAATCTACCTAACTGTCAAGCATGATGAGAATTTTATGACATTTTTGTGAAAGATACCCATAGATAGATAGATAGACAGACAGACAGAGAGATAGAGATAGATAGATACCACAAAGATACCAGAATAGAACATATGCTAGCAAGTAATTCTATTCATCACTCAAAATGGAGAAATTCATGATGCTTATTGTGTATTTCATAAAGACTTGGATGTTAGCAGTTTTTTCTTAAGCCTCATTAATAGTAGTGTGTCTGGATTTTCTTATCATTCCTCAAAAGTGTTATAAAATTAAGAAGCAATTTCTGATTTTTCTTGGGAAAGTATTTTTTTTTAGTGTAAGAAATATCGTATCCATGCTTGTGTGTGAACTTAGAGGAGAAAAATGCAGAGCAGGAAGTGATGCTCCATTTCAGTTAATTTGCTGCCCACAGAGTGAATGATCACTAGCTCTTCTTGTGACTCATGTTCTCCAAAATTAATAAATCTCAGGTTAATAATTTTCAAAATGCAGATGGCTGTAAATTTTGTTCCCTCAAGTATTAACAGATGAGATTGACACTCATCACTTTTAATCCTTTATTTCTCTTCTCTGCCTAGAACACAACTACTTATGAACACAGGAATTGCTGTCACAATATACACTAGTAATCTTTTTTACTTCAATATCCTTTCCCTGACAATGCCTATTAATATATGCTTTAAAGCAAAATATAAGAATGCCTAAAACAGATGGCAAAAGATTTTTTTTTACTAATCTTTATTTGTCAATTTTTGTCAAGAAGCATGAGGACATAAAACTTTGTACAGAATGATCTTCATGCAAATGTGACAGAGTCCCAGGGAAACTCTCTATGTTCTTCTATTAAGCAAAAGAGGCTTTAGTAATTTCTGAAACAGGTATTAGTCTACATTCATAAAACTCGGAGTTTATTCCTCAGTTCACCTTCAGATGTTTTCATGTAAGCATAAAATACTGCCAAATAAAAGTGTATTTGTACACACTTAAAGCTGGTGTATATTAATAGCTCCTAAACCTGCTGATCAGTGAAAAGTCAATGGGAAAAAAGGAGTATGTTCATGATATTTCCATAGATGCTGTACTGAAGTCACTGTTCAGTCAAGAGTAGAAAACATGGTGTAGTAACAACCAGTAGAATTTGAGCCACTGCTGTGGATGATGCCTTGATTTCCCAGTATGATAAATGAGAAAAACTCTCCTCATTTTCACCCTTTACCTTTTCTGTCTGTTATATGGAATCCTCTTTTTTATAATGGAACCAGAGGAAGAACACGTACAACAGAGGAAGATGTTCTGTCTACCCTGCTCCCCCTTCCTCCATCTTGTTACTTCTCTTTTTCCTTATTGTTTTTCCACACACAAATTCATATATCTCCTTTAAGATATTTTGGAGCTACATTAAGAAGTCAGGTGGAGCTGAGTGCAGAGCTCACTTTGAATGTGAAAACTGAGTGTTTAAATATTTTGCAGGGCTTTGAACAGTCCACCTTAATAATTTTTTACATAAAGTCACAAAACTTGATCACAAATTATTCCTAATCTGATTGAATCTGGTTTGGGATTTCGAGTTTCCTATGGCTGTACCAATACTTCTCTATATCTGGAAGTTAAATTGCAGTCTGATAGAAAAAGGAAGACTTCTCTAGAATAATTGTTAGAATTTGATATTCCTGATTAAATCAAGTCTCCAAAAAAATGCAGTGTCAAGAGTTTGGCATATGGATCCTTTCAATAGTCATATGCTCTCTGGATTTATTTGTCATTATTTAAATAAGAAAGGAGTCAATTTTGCTTGTCTATTTTAATATTAAATCTTAAATAGGTTTAATGCTTTAGTGAGAATATGAATCATAGAAGGTTTTGGGTGGAAGGGATGTTAAAGCTCATCCAGTTCCAACCCCCTGCGTTAGGCAGGGACACCTTCCACTAGAACAGATTGCTCCAAGCCCCTGTGTCCAACCTGGCCTTGAACACTGCCAGGGATGGGGCAGCCACCGCTTCTCTGGGCAATCTGTGCCAGCGCATCACCACCCTCACAGTAAAGAATTTCATCATATTAAAGTACGAATGAAGTAAAGATACTATCTGCTGAGATATGTGGGTTTCCATATGCTATGATTAAGTTTAGACTTTCTCCCAGGTCTTACATACAGGTGCATGTTTAGCACCTTTTTCACTTTTCCTTAGACGGATGCATTGTCTGCTTCCTTCTCCCCCTCAGTCTCCACCCCTTCCAAGCTGGGGAAAAAAGCAAGACCAGAAAACTTTTTTATGGGAGAGGAGAAGCTGCTGCTGTGTTCCAGTACAACTTCTTCCCTCTTTCTGAACTGTTGTCAGAAGGAAGTCAGTAGAAGCAATAGAGAATTGTGACGGAATGCTTCAGAAGGGACTTTCTAGGCAGCGAAAGAAATAAATTGTTCCAACTCTTTACCCTTATGACAGTACTGCAGTACAGATCTTAGGCAATCTCATGCCCGCTGAAAGGTTTTGCCCATGAATCAAACCACCATCAAAATGCCACTTGTAGAAGCATTTTAGAGGGGTAGAGCCTGTTTTAGCAACAATCTTATACTGTAGCCACACTGACAGAGTTGGAAGAAAATTTTATAAATACCTTTCAGATTTGGGTATCTCCACAATACAGCTTAATGTATTTTATTATCCTTACATTTAGATTAAAATAATTATCTATACATCTATTTGTTTGTATGTTTTATTTTCATATTTTATATTGATGTAAACACTTTTTCAAATCTACATCCAGATCTGTAGGCTTAATTTACATCATTATTACTAGCATTATAGTGTTCAGTAAGGCAACATTTACACATTATTGCAATGCACTTGGCACAGAAAAGTGGGAAGTCTGCTTTCTGGAATATCGCGTCCTGTGTTTTATGACACAATCTTATAAATTGAGGATTACAAATCTGAAAGAATGATGAAATGTAAGCTTTGAATAGTCTCTGAAATAAATGTTTGTGGAGAATCCATAATAATAAATAATAATAATTGTTTGCACCACTTCATTACATATTACTAATACCTTTGAGAAACATTTCTTTTCTCAGAGTGGCATTTGGAAACTGCAATGGTTTGGCTGTTGTGGACTTTATGCAGAAGACAGTACTACTGAGCATGGGAACCTTTGACCTATATGGATCAGGCGATCCCTACCAGCGTCAACCCCGTTCACCTCGCAAAACTAAGCAGTTTGCTGCAGGTAGGAAATAAATTATTGTGGCTATAAGCCTGTTATGTTCTTTGATTTTTTTGCCTGTGGCTTTCTATAGTGCTTTTGAAATGCATGACTATTTGCTGGCCAATGGAATTTCTGTAACTTGACAAAAAAACCCTGACATGTTCTCAGAAACAAAATGTTTTATGAAGTTTATTTTTTGGGGATGGAGGTCAGCAAGTAATTCTCTTAGCTGAGTCTGTAGCAAATCATAATGAGAAGAGCAGTCAATTATTTCTCTGGCAGGCACTTTAAGAGTAGTCTTTATGTTGTTTTCTTTCTGGTTTGAATAAGTTCATACCAATATGTCAGAATTCAATTTAAACTTAATTTTATCTTCTGCCAAGTGCTTTTCATTGGTATTTGAATAAGCAGTTGTGTCTGGAGAAGGGTAACACCTGAGAGACATGCACATTAGCTCAGAATAGCCACTTTGTTAATGAATTGAAACTTTACCATACTTTAAAATCTGATGCCAAGAGGATCACATTTTTGATCCTCTGTGTAAGTTACAGCTATTCTTATGCATTGTGTGTTAGAAATACTGATCCATCAATGCAGCTAAAATATACCATAGTCTTTTGGTTTGCTAAAAAAATTACTTCTATGACAAAAAAATCAGAAGGTCTTTTATGTTTCAAGTCTTTTTACTTTCATATTCCATAGTAACATACTAGATAGAGCCAGACAATTATGACATGCGTTTTATGTAGCTGTGGAGTTTTAGAATTACATTTAAAATCTGTTTGAAAATGTTGTTTTAAATATAACCATAAAAGTCTAAAAGCAGCAGATTATAGTGGGCTTGTGACATCAGCGTTTTCATCAGCAGACCCCGCACTACATCATCAAATCCTTTCTTCACAGAGTGAATGGAAACTTTTTTAAATTGGGAACATATTCGTACTTCAAACAAAAAGTAAAATATAGACAATAAAGTCTTCAGGCCTGCTTCAGTTCCTGAAAATCTGTTTATCCCACTTTCTAGGCATTTAATCACGGCAAGCTTATTTCTCATCTGTGCCAAGTCTTTAAGATGTAAATGTGGCACAGCCAAGGAGAGAAGAGACAAACAGCTTTAAGCTACCTTCAGCTTCTCTCTCTGGTTCAGCCATCCTCACAGCAGCTCCCAAAGTAATTTAAGCAGGTAGCCACAAGCAACATGCTGCAGAGCTTGGTATAAAAAGCAGAGGATAGCTGGTGTAGAAATAGGTGTTATCAGCACTGTGCCGCATAGGTAGTCTCTGTGTCAATCTTGGCCAGTACTTCAAGGCAACATTCCAGCTATGCAGCGCTGCTAGAAAGGAGCCCACTGGGGATAAGGAATACAGACTTCTAGATTGCTCATAGAAACTGTGCACCTAAAAAAAGCCTCAGCTGCTTTCTCACCATCCATCCCACATCCTTTACTTTTTCGATTATTTTTTTTGTTATATCTCCCAATTGGAAGGTAAGCATCTGCTGAAATTTCTTCACCTTGGCTGTTCTAGATGCTGGTTATGATATCACTTCCTTTCACTTTAGACTCTTTTTTCTCTCTTTCCTCTGCCTGCTGCTGATGCTGGTGTACTGGCATGTTCCAAAGACAACTTTTGCATGCGTGGCCTGTCTAACTTTTATCCAGATTTAACGAAACGGATCCGTACTTCCTATCAGAGTAAGTTCTATAAAGTTTAGGCAAATAGCTTTATCGTGATTGGACTATGCCTGACTTAAACCCGTGTGTTTGTGCTTTGTAATGTGTTTTATTTAAACACATTCAGCATGCATGCAAACTTAGATTATTTCATGATGTTAACCATGCTTGATATTGACAATTACCTTTATTATACAGATAGTTCAAATCTTGGGTTTTTTTTTCCAAAAGAGTCAATGAGAAAACCTCGGTGGGTTACATGGGCCTCAGAAATGATTTTTCAACAATATTACATTCTTGACAACACTATCTTTCTTTGGGTTTATATTGGTTTCAGTGTACATCGACTTATATGAAGCATTTCTTGTTTTGCAATGGCACTGTCTGGTTCTAGCTATTAATTGATTCTTGCCTATTTTCAGAAGAGCAGTATGGCTTAAAAGAGAACTGATTGGATTGTGTGCTATGAAATTTACAATTTTAATCTTGGTTTGGTACTGGCATATTTGGCTTTGCGGAACCATCCCATGCCTCTGATCTTTAATAGGGAAAGTAAAATGGGTATAAAAATACATACATCAAAGAGAGCTATGAAAATTAATGTTTTTAATATCTTTAAATTTTGAATTCTAGTGATAGGCAAATTAAATATTAGTATTCATCACTGCGGCATTCAACGAACAAAGCTATAATTAATTTTGCAAAAATGACTTTTCAACAGATGAGCTGTATGTATCTTAATTAACTGCAGTGCTTATATGTAATTAGGTCTCCAGGATGCCTCTTATTAATCTCTTTTTAAAGTCGTTTTCACAGAACAACTGGTTAGGCAATGTTACATTAAATACTCAGTATAGGCAAGATAAAGGGGTGGCAGTTGTTTTATCATCTCACATAAGTACGGAGTTGTGGAGCTATTGAAATGCATTTGTACACTTGCACAAGAAATTCTATTCCATCTGTCTAAACTGATTACTCAGCAACTGATTGCTATGATTTTGTTTCATTATACTTCATAAAAGGTGGCCTGTTTAGTTAAAAAACAAGTCTATTTACAAATCCAGCAGTCCATAAAAAGGTTTGGTGTATAACGTCTTAAAGTTTACTAGTCTGGTCTTGCTGCTTTCAAGTCTGCAACAGAGAACATGAGGGACAAACAGCAGTCAAAGATTTGGGTTTTAAAAAAAATCACCAACATTTTCATTCAAAATTACAAATACAGACCATAGTGATTTTCATAGCTGTAAATGTCTTGTTTAGTTTCCATCTTCAAGCCCAAAATCAGAGAAGTCCACAAAATCTTCCTGTATACATTGTAATTGAAGAGTAAAAGTCTGATTCTTGGGCAAGATCATTGACAGCTCCATTTCTTCCCTCAAAAATTATTTGGTTGTTGCTTTTGCTATTCAGTATTTCTGCTGAAGTAGTTAGTACTGTATGATCTGAAAGATGCACCAGGCAATAAGGTATAGAACAGGCCAAGAACATGTCACAGACTAAAATATCATGCTAAGTCATTCTCAGGTTATGCTTTATTATGTAACTTACCTGAGATGCGAGTTTTAAGAGGGGTTCTGAGAATGGATTTGGTTTCTCTCTTCTCGTAAGTGATGATGAGGGGAAAAGAAAAACAAATTATTTTTGGAAATTGTGCAGTTGAAGCTGATATTATTAAGGCAGAAGGAAGAGCAGTCATGCACTAACGTAAGCATTAGGACTACAGTTTTGAGGATTATATAAATGAAAATGGAAGTTAATGGGAAGACATATCAGGGGTTGATTCAATTAAGAAATGAACTGGGAAGATAATTTCATGAGGATCAGTTTGAGAGAATAAGACTTGCTGGCAATGAAGCCAAAGAAGAGATTATCAATGAGCAGGATACTTAGACTTTTGTTGTCATTTTGGAGGTGATTTGCAGGAAGAAACAGTCTAGTTTAATTCTCAGTTTCAGGCTGAATACTGAAGTGTGATGTTCCACACAATATTATGAATTAGAATATCAGGGAAGAGGGTGTTGCTGTTAACTGTGCTGAAGTAGGAAAGAGAAGACTTCAGCACAAAGAAAAAAGAACCAGGAGTTCATCTTGCAATGTTACGTTCGTGTCTGGACGCTTGTGAGTCAATTTTAGAGAGATGGGGGTGCTACTCTAACTTGGATGGAAGGAATCCAAGTTAGAGATATGTAGTTATGAATCATTAGCATCAACAAAAGATATTTATAACCTCACTGAAAGGCGAGCATTTCCTCAAATTCTGGGATAGAGAGATAAAGAAGTGTTGATGTTCTTCTGCAACTGAAGAAGGAAAGTGTGGGGGATCAAACAGGGAAAAGAATCAGTATGTTGGAGAAGAGTGGTTTTCCAAAGGAAGGACATGATCAACAATGTCAAGGGCAGCATCCAATATGCAGAACACACTAGTGGCATAATTGTTTTGAATTTTAGCAATAAATCTATAAAAAGCTTGATAAGAGTAGCATATACATGCGTAAGCTAGACTCAAAAGCATCTAGAATGGACTTGGAGCATTAAGACAGCACATTCCCTGGTCTGAGAAGTGAAAGAGGGAAACGAGAAACAAGAAGGGAAGAAATTAGAAGGAGAAATGTAAGAGAAATCAGTTCCAGACATACATAATGGGAGATACTGAAGCAATTGTCCTTTCAGGGGAATTAATTTGAGGAAAACAAGAGGCTCAGATGAGGTTAAGTGCAGAGCTGGAGGTAGCTTTCTGGTATCGATGACCTGTTCCATTTGATGTAACATCTGCTGGCAGCCACCTTCCTCTGTAGCAACAATATGTGCCGAGCCAAAACAAATAAGCTCTCTCTGCAGTAGTGCACAACTGTGTTGTTGTTTGGTTGTTATTTATTTTCTTCAATTGAAATCAAGTTGTACATGTTATTACCTAGTAGTAGATAACATATATTCTAATATTAAAACGAGTACATTTACAGCATCTAGGAAGACAGTGCAGCAGAATGTAAAAATACCGACTTGCAAAACCAATTTGCATCTCCTGCTAGAAATTCATACCATCTGTTGGTAAAATAAGAAAATAAATTGTCTTTATGAAGCATCCAAAGAGTGGGCAAGTTCAAAGGATGTTGGTCCATTGGAATATAGTTTTCAGAATGGATACTTTTCAGTGAGAACTCCTTTTTCCTCATCCAGGCCAGTCCCTAGAGAGGATGTGAGCAAAAGCAACCTTGGTCTGACAGGAGGACACAGAAAACTGTGTGCCAAGAGTCATTACATATCAGTAATGGATGCTCTAAATCACCCCCTGACAACACAGTAGAAGCTAATATAGGTTAAGTTTTAAATTGACAGCTATATTCTGAACTAACTGTCATTCTCAAAGAATGCATCAAACTTAAACATAAAGAAAACAGTATGGTAATTTAGTGTGAAGAGGCATCCCTACCCATGGCAGGGGGTTGGAACTAGATGGTCTTAAGGTCCTTTCCAACCCGAACTAGTCTATGATTCTTGTGAATATTTATGATGGTTTATTTATAATTAATTTATTATAAGCAAAGAATTTTGGTGCTTTTAATTCAATGATCAGTCTGAACAATTTAATCAGAGAGAGAAACTTAAAATTTCAAAAATAATTTTAAATTAAGAGCTTGTGAAAGTTGTTACCCCATATTAGACAGTACATTTTTCTCTCCTTTGGTAAAGAGGCAATTGGAATCAGAGTATGGATACTTTTCAAGTATCCATAGGACATGTCTTTAAAAGTGCTTTAATGCCTTATGTATTATATTTACATCTTGCATTATTTCCACATCTCTCTAATCTGTTCAAATCAAAGCCAATTTCTCTATAATGTCAGTGGGTGTATCTTCTCACAGGTGGTCCTTTATATTGCCAATCTCAGTTATTTGTCTTTAGCTTTGCTGCTATGCTCTTGCTTTACCTGGACTCAAAATTTGCTGTCACAGGGGCTTTTGGGGCTAAAAAAAGCTGAAATATTTTGGGGCACATATTGGGCCTACGGAACTCCAAAATCAAAAGTGAAAATAGTTTCATAGTCTAACTTCAGGAGCTATTTTAGTCTCTCATGTGTTCAAGGGAAGCTGAGTTGTGTGGAAATACTTATACATGAGAAATTATTGAAAAGATTTAGCTTGGTTCCCTTAAAAAGGAAACAACGGTAGAAAATAAACAGGAGTACAAAGAAAAGCTTAAGAGCTTTGAAAGGGAAACAGACAACATTTGGTGGAATCACAGGTAACTCGAAAATTGACAAGTATATGTTTATTCCTTTCAGTGAATGACAATTGTGTGATTCATTGCCATATAACATCTTTGGGATTTCGAATTCAGTAAAATTAAAAGATACTTTGGATATACAGATGGATTAACTAGAAGAACTCATAATATTTCTGAGCAGGAAAGATTTATGGCAGGAGAAAACCTGCAAGTGGCAGTGCTTAAGCAAATCTAAGTGTCTGAGATTAATGCCCTTGTGCACATATTACCACTTAGGCTTAACATGGGGGCTTACTGCACTTGGGCTGGTTTTGGGTTTGTTTGGGGGTTTAGTCATTGTTAGAGGTGATACAGAGTGGCTTGACAACAAGTCCAGATTTGTAGAGAAGTTCACATGTTCACCATTCTTAAATACCATAGCATAAAATCTTTATCTTTACTGTTGTATGTTGTACAGCTGTTATCAAACATAGAAAGCTTGTATTCTACCAGTGGTTGCTCTTGGGTTTTCAGAACAGTGATTTGGTGTCTTTCCTACTTAAGTCAATGGAATCATAAAAAAAAAAAAGGAAAAGAGAAACTCTACGTAGAAGCAAAATCAGAGGTGGCATTTGATGTAAATATCATCAGTAGGAATCTGTGCAAAGCTTAGGACTTCATTAATTACAACATCACAGCCAGAGTGTTAAAAACTTTAATATTTCCAATACTGCATTTACAAAAGAAACAGTTCAGTAATTCGTTTTGTTTCTCCAAGGCCTCTGATGCTGTGCAGATATGCCAGACTCGCTCCCACTGTACCTTGCAGACAGTTCTGCAGCAAAAAGCAATTACATTCCAAATCTGTAGGTACATACAGCAAATTGTACTTCTACCTGACTCTAGGTCAGTAAGAAAGCTATGCACAGAGAGGCTTCCTGAATGATTGCAGTTCCTGAATTCTTTTCTAACATTAAAAGTAACTGGACTCACAATTGACTGGAATATAAAATTCTCTCGCAAATTCGAAGTTGAATTTAAGAAAGATTCAAATACATTTCTCAAAATACAAAGTCTTCAGTTTGCACCGTTAGTGTCTAGAATGATCTTTTGCGTTTAAAATCAGGAGCAAATATGTCATTGCTACTGACTTAACAAGCCAAATCAATACTGTTTTTCCAAAGTGCTCAAAGTTGTTCTGCATTCACATAGCTTTGCTAGTGGTAGAAACTTTTTATCCTGCTGGTTGGGGCTCTGGATTCTCCCCATTTCTTAGAGCAGTTCAAAATTACACTGTAAGAAAAATATCACTACCTATACTAGGATCCCGCTGTTTTAATACAAAAAGAACAGCACTGGTGAGTCTATATGAATTTTAGAGATGAGGGTCTCTGAGCCTGAGGGTCCAGAAGCCATAAAAATTAACCCATGTCATGTTGCAGGAGGCATGGTGCCAGATTAAAGCATATTGAAAGGTCGTGATACATGTTTGTATCACGAAGTCAATGTGATACATTGGCTTCTAGTACACAACATATGCAAAGTATCTGTAAACACAGTATCAATATGACAGTAATGCACATGAGTGTGGGCTAATGCTCACTGGGCTCTATGACCTGAGTGATGAGTCCCCACTGCTAGCAGATGGATGTCTGGTGCTGGGCTGTCTGCCAGTCCCAAGTAGCCTACAGCATGAAGTGTCAGCTCCATATAACAAGTGTGAACCACTTGATAAAAACCATAGGGAACTATGGGGTACATTTGGAAAGGTGTGGCCATGCCCAGTTCATCCGCAGTTAGCCCATGGCAGAGCATAGCACAAGCTCAGGCTTTCTCTCCCTAGCATGCCAAAAGGCATGTTAAACTTGTACATGCAACTTGTGCCAAAGATGGATCTCAGTTTGATCACAATAACAAGCCGAAGCTTAAGCAGTGTAAATTAAGATTACTCTACTTGCTGCCTTCCACGGCAGGCTGCTCCAAATGAGTTCCTCACAAGTACATCTAAACAGTATATCAGGATCTTGCACAAAAATTCTGTCTTATATTCAGACAGCATCTCTCCCCCTGTTCTAAGGTTTCCTCCCTGTATTCTGCAGCAGTTGAAAGCATAGAGTTGCTTCCACATGAGTTTGACAGGGATGAATTAGTTTGATTCACATCACAGACATTTAAATTTTAAACTATTTACTTTTTTTCTCTAGTGAGGTACAGTCACTATTTGTCTACCCTGAGGGGCTCGGAAAACAAATCTGAGTTGGCAAAAGGTGTGATTTTAAAACCAGACCTACATTCCTGCAGTGACAGCCTGATAACTGCAGTTATCTGAAGTATTTATTCTTCTCACGTTTCGCACCATTCCTTTCTCCAAATTGACTTTGAAGTGCAGAATATCATCAACCAAGAAAGTTGAAGCATGCCCTGTTAGATTGTAACTTAACTTTTTAACTCCATTTTTTCAGGCCTGACTGAACTCAGTGACAGTCCAGTTTCCCTGGAGCTAGAGCGTTGCAAGTCTCCCACTTCAGGTAAAGGTGATTGGCTTCTCTTCCTGCAGTCTGTATAAGCCATTCATGCCATGCATCAGTGTGTTTCATTAGTCCCTAAGAAGTAAAGTGCATAATTACAATTCCAACTAGAAGAATTTACTGCAGAAGTGCTTATTACACAGCACAACAAAAGCCTAAGTCTGTTTACTTAAAGGAAAATTAAACGTACGTGGTCCATCTTGAGGTGAAGAGCATGAAAACATATGAGTTAACAAATATCATATATCATGCAGATATATTCCTCTATCCTCCTACTAGAGGCTTGTTTCTCTGCTTCATTAAAAGCCTTTCTGACTTTTTTTCAGTAGAGAGTCTTTGTAATTTTCCACGTGTATTATGTATATGTGCACATAGAGAAATAAGTTGAAAAAAACAGCAATATGGAGATGATGAATTTTAACCATTAAAACCCAGTGCCCAAGTTATGTTATTTACAATAGAAACATACCCTCAAATCAAAATATTTGCTTATCAACCACTTTGACCCGGCAGTGAAATTTTGGCCATTTTAAAATTAATAACTGTTTCCCATTTTACCCATAGTCCTTCAGAAGGTGGAGTTCATCTCATTTTGAGAGACTTTTTCTGCAAGTGCCTAGTCTGCATTAATCTCTTTAATGTGAGTTCACTGTCTTAAAGATAGTTGCTTACAGCTGTTTTCTAATAGCGGACTTTTAAATGTGATGGAAAATAAGGATGTGTAACTCAAACAGAATGGATGATGGAACAGGTTGCCCAAGGAAGTTGAGAATGCTCCATCCCTGGCAGTGTTCAAGGCCAGGTTGGATAGAGTCTTGGGTGACATGGTTTAGTGTGTGGTGTCCTTGCCCATGGCAGGGGGGTTGGAACTGTATGATCTTAAGGTCCTATCCAACCCAAACCATTCTATGATTCTATGATACATTCATTTTGCTTGTGCTATGTGTATCACTCTACTTTTCCTTGTAGTTTGGTAAGTATTTTCCTTAGTTATGTTAACAAGTTCCCACAAATATGCTATTCAAGTCCTCTGTTATTATTTCATGTATTTTACTTTATTGTAACAGGACACAGTCATCTTGAATGAAGGCCACTAATCAGTAATTCACAAAAACCTAAAACTAATAAAAGTATTTCCCTTAAACGTCTGAAAGAAAATAGCTGTTTTGAAAGATGTATTTCCTAGCACTATTTTCAGCCCAAATTCTGTAGACATGGGAATAGCAAAGTGGAGTAGTCTATAATGACAGTGGTATAACACAAGGAGCTCAGACTTGAGCTGGACCTCAGAAACTCACGATATGGGCTTTAAAATAAAACATTTGATAGCTAACTCAGTATAATCAGACTACTTATTCTGTGGCTTACTGGGATTCATCTTTTTAGTCTACTTTCCAGAAATAAGCTGCATTCTCTCTTTTTCTTTTTACTGTAAACTAAGAGATTACTGACATGGTATCCATGTGTGCATGTGCTTAATTTTATAATGATAAATGACAGCTATAGCAATTTACTTTTTCTTCAGTTAACTTTGATTTTTCGTTTCTGCTATTGATCAAAAATACCAATTTTTAGATAAATTTAAGATCATTTGCTCCAAAATTTAGTCTCCTTTTCTGTTTTGGAGATTAAATATGGCATATTTTTGAATGTTTCCTATTTTAGCCCTTCCCTGTGGTTTTCCAAGCTATTTTTGAATCTTTAAAATGTGAAATCAGGTGCAATTTTGTTTGTAACAACTATTATTAGAATTAACTGCTTTTTTAAAAATAGAACTTAATTTTACTGTGAGAGATTTAATTTTTTTTAATGGAAAAGGAAAACAATTTTACTTTGACATACCTGCTCTTACACTGGGCAAAATCCAGTCTAATCATCTGCAACAAACGACCTCAAAATTGCAACCCTCAAGAACTTGGGAGTGGAACTACCTTGTGCTTATCAGCATAGCCTCCCAGCTGCATCACCGTCTGCACTGGCTAAGATTTGTTTCTTGTAGTACACAGCTGATGAATCTGCATAGTTACGGATTCATCAGCCAGGATCCTTTTACTTCCAGTCTTACCTTTGATCTAAAGTCCATGGCACACAAGGTCCATTATGGAAGTGTGCTGTACTCTGGTGAGATTCCTGTTCTGAAATTCTTTCAGACTAGAACATGAAATTAAACCATTTGATGAAAATGTTTCTGAAATTCACAGAATTCCCCACGCAGGGGGTAGCAGCAAGTAGAGAAATGCCAACCTTGCTTTGTAAGAATGGTAGACAAAGAGGAATAAGCCTCCTTAACCACTAGTATTTTATTTTAAGTAAGTTAGTAATTAAATCCTATAGAGGAACAAAAAACTTCAAAAAACCCCAGAATACTTACCTATATAAAGCACATTTTGTGAGAACAGTGATGCAGCATGGCGTGCCGTCTAATGGTATTTGACTGGCTTAAAAACACCCCTCAAATCATATAAAGAACAGTGGAGATCAGGAGTTTTCAATGCCATTAGAATATCTTAGTCATGCAGGCCATGCTCTTACAATAGAGAAAATCAAACTGCATTTTGATTGTTGTGATTTGGAGGTTAGGGCTTTGTACAATCTTTGCTCTACAACGGCATGTGAGAACTCAGTAGCCCTAAAACAACGTAAAGAACTCTGAGGCCTTGTAAGCACTCATAGTGTAAATGGTGCTACGTCCAATGCTGGAGTTAATTACTATATAATGTATTAAAACCAGTACCCATTCCAATAAAGTTTCCCTTTATTTTTATCATCTCATTAGGAAAATTTATTCAGGGGCAGTATAATGTACATAATTATGTATTGCTTTACCCATATGTATGTAGCTTTATATTGAAGTGTGTAGTTGCAAATACTTGTGAGCACAAGAAAGTGCATCTTTGAGAGGTCATTTAGTTTTGTTGCATAAGATGCAATGGACAGTTTAGACTTCTTTCAAAGACCATCAGTCCATGTACAGGAGAGTGACCTCTCAAATGTGTGTTCTCAAATGAAAGTGTGTTTGTGGTTTTTTTCTTAAGGAATCACCTTCATACTGGGGGCTCGCATCCAAAATGCTTTTAAGACTATAGAGGTTAGAGAAGGCTATGTAAATATTTCCACAATAGATTCCCATGAGCTTTAGAACAGGTCCCTAATGGCAACATTATGAGTATTTATATGTACTGTGATTTCCAAGTGCTGTTATCCTGATTCATTCCACTGGTTACATCTGCTGGCATTAGGCCCATGCCAAACCCCTACTTCCCTACAGGAAATCTGTTTAAGTAGCTTTGTTTCAAAAAGAATATTATTAAGTTTCTAACACACTCTTCTGTAACTCGCGGGTAACTTCAAAGTAGCTGAAGAGATTTTACTCAGTTTGAAAACTATATTGTCATGTGCAAGAAAGCAAATGTTTCAAAACATTTTGCGTGTGTGTAAAACATAGAATGTAATTTATTTGTAACTTGATAACTGCCAGAATAACCATTTTCTCTTATATATTAAGAAGAATGTTGATTAGTCAGAAGGCAAATAAGTCATTAAAGAGAAGTTGGCTCCTGCACTGGGAATACAAGGTGCATTTTATCACTTTTTCTGGTATGTGATGAGGGGTTTTCTGGTCAGCTGAATTCGTGCTTGCTTAAGATGTTGAGACATGTAGGAATTAGCAAGGAATGGAGAGCAGTATGAGCTGACAAAGGGGAGGAAATGGGGATCTGCATTTAGGCCTTGGAGTCTGGTTCAGGGAGAGCAGCAGGGGTGGCCCTCATGCAGCCCATGGTGCGTGACTTAGGGAGGCCTAAGCCCCCCAGCAGAGGCCAGCAGCCTGTATGGACCAGGGAGACAGGAGCCAAGCAAGGGAGCAGGGCAGCTCTGGGGAGGGTGACCAGGGCCAAGCACTGCCAGGTGACCATCAGGGACAAGGGAGGATCAGCAGGGCCATGACCAGGCACAGGAGCGGCAGCAATGCGGCAGTAGCTGTAGCTCAGGGCAGAGTGAGAGTAAAGTTCAGCTTGAATGTAGCTCCTATGGAAAGTGCTGCCTGGGGTGCTCTGCCTGAGGCCACCAAAGGAAAAGGGCTGTCTCTACATTGGCTCTGAGCCCCAGTAGCCAAATGTCCAGGACCTTACTGTGTACCTTGTCCAACTGGGTAGCTAAACATTAGGCTCTTAAATCCGCGTCTTGGCAGTGGTGAACTAGGACTGGCGTTCCAAAATGTTACACAGGCAGACGCTCCCTAAGAGAAAGAGCTGTATGAAGAGCTGTATCCATTTTGAATAATACTAAGTTCTCTGACTACAGACCTGCTGTAATAGCTGTGGGGAACACACCACTGAATGTCATAGCTGCAAGCACACGTTTGTTTGTTTGTTGGTTGATTGTGCTTTCTTGTTTTCACTGAAAGACTGGTGGGAACCATATGGCTATAAGATACCATGTTGTCAGGTGAGGAAACTGGGTGCTCAGCTTAGCTAGCTGCTAGACCATACCTATTAACTCTGTCTGTGCCGCCTTCTCACCCCACAGTTGGGTAACTTGACTGTTGACACGTTAAGCTCTTTGGGGAGGGGCTGTCTTGCCTTGCACTGTGGCATCACGATTTAAACTGGCCGCTTCCAGCATGAATGCAAACAAATAATGGTAACAAACAACTCTGGTAGCCTCTTGAACCTTTGTACTCTACTGCATACTTAACACTGGATTTCAAAAGCTCTTTCTCAACAAGATAGGTTTACATACATGATCTTCCTTTATAATAAATGTAGAGATAGTAAAACATACATGATTTAAGAACTAAATATAGGCTATATGATAATAGCTATCTGATAGTATCCACACTCTGATCAGTTTAATAGTGATATTAGTTTTACCCCCCAAAAAAATACACACAGCTTTAATCACAGTAAAGCATGAAAGCAACCAGCTACTCCTTTTGTTTTTACACTTGTGGTCTTGACAGTGGTCCATGCTTTTCCTAGCACAGTCATGTCCTACACCAA